ATACATCTCTAGCATGAAGAATAATAAAGTATACAATCTCTATCTTTAGCATAATGAGTACAAAAACTCTGACTTTTGCATAATGAAGAAGTATAAAATCTCTACCTTTTTATACATTTGAAGATACATGGTGCATGCATGGACAAACGTTTGACCACAAAAGGACTTACTCATATGTGAGCGAGAACTTTACTATTGTTGTGGTCATTTCTCTTACTCCACACAGAGATGGGAGTGGGGTCGCCGAACAGGAGACGCATGCCAGACCTATTGTACTTGTTTTTAGTGGTAAGGGAAACTCGGAGGAAACCCGGAGCACCCGGAGGACACCTACGCAGACACGGGGAGAACATGCAAACTCCACACAGAAAGGTCCTGGAGGTGGAACCAAACCCAGGACCTTCTTACTGTGAAGCACAAGCGCTAACCACTGCTCCACCATCCCGCCCAAGTATAAACTCCCATAGACTGCAGTTCTATAGTTGCATTCAACATTCAGTCATTGGTTTAGACAAACACAATGTATCGAGGCAAAGTAAATCATAGATATAAAGGAATGCAATTGTAAATGTCCATTGACAATGGACATTTAATACGATCATACCAGAGGTATGAACGTACTTTAAGTGTCAGAAATGTAAAGTGACACTTTACTGTGCCGAAATCTAGTGATGAGTTATGAAGTTTTCATGAGTCCAACGGCAGAGCGGAAGAAACTGTTCTTATGGCTTGAGGTTCTATTTTGGACTTGTTTCGGGGGCCTCCTGGGAGGTATCTGGGGATGTCTCACAGGGAGGCGATATCAGGGAAGACCCAGGACAGAAATGTCTCTCAGATGGCCTGGGAATGCCTCGGGATTCCCTCTGATGAGCTGGAGGAGGTGTGTTTGTGTGTTAAGTGGAAGAAAATGAATAAATAAATAATGTGTTTTTTAGATGTTTCTATTGCATTGAAAAGAGCATACTGTATACATTGTAAATAAATAATCGTATGGCATGGTCAGAGCGTGTTTCGGTTCATGTTGTTCAGGTTCAGGTTCATGTGACTTTATTTTTACCAGTAGGTAGATTTGTTTTGCAGCATTGAAACAGGTTTGGAATCACTTTCACATTGATGACAAGACATGACACAAGCAAAAAACACCAACATGTCTAGGGTCAACCAAGAATTTCTTTAAACACCCATAGTTTTTCAACATACATCACCCAATATTTAATGAAAAGTCATAATATTATTAATCCTGCACTGACAATCACCATAAAGCTTTTCCATTTCTGACTCTATCCTGATCGCTGCTGGTACCCTTTGGGAGCTCCAAACCTGATAATTGTTCTTTAACCTGTTGGATGTGACTGCAGACTTGATATTAGTGTTGCATTTAAAGTTTTGTTCAGTATAGATCCTCTGCGGATACTGTGTTGGATGAACTCCCACTGAGCATCGTCATGGCAACACTGACAGCCCACCTCTGCGGAGAGGAGGCGAGCCTGAGGAAGAGGAGGAAGAGGAGGCTCAGAGGGCAGGGGGTTAGACACAAAAGAGTGGGAGGGATGGTGGTCTACGGAGAGGAGTGGGACTGAGGCAGAACAGGGATAAAGTAAAGTGTCCATTAGTAGAGAGGAGGGATGTCCACTGTTCAGAGGATAACGTCATATTGACTTTGTCATAGATACAATCATTCTTTTAATCACACAAAGATCAATATGGGGAAACAATTGTGATAATTTTTTGGCTCACAGTGGGGCGGCTGTGGCTGTAAAGAGCTGTTGTGTCCTTAGGAAAGACCACATTGCCTAGAATGAGTCTGGTGTGTGTGAATGTTTGGTGGTGGTCGGAGAGGCTGAAGGCACATTGTGTCTGTCAGTGTGCCCCAGGGCAGTTGTGGCTACAGTCGTTGTTTATTTCCACTGTGTTTGGGGTGAATGTAAAGCGTCTTTGAGCGTCCAAAAAATAGTTTTCACATGCATGTATCTTTACATCAGACGTTTCAGACTCTTCCTTTTGGGGAAAACAACATGTAAAAGTTAGATATTTTAAAGAGAACTTAGGTCAGATAACGCACCTGACTCAATTTGTTTTGATGTTTTCAATAACTATTGCTTTGTTATTGAGTGGGGTTCGCAAGTCAGGTGTGTGGTTTTTTTTTTGGTGTCACTGTCTGAAAAGTTTGGGAACCATGATCACATCATCTCTTGTTCAAAGCCTTTATTTCAAATATTAAAGCAGAGGGAGCCTCTCCTCACCTCCAAACTCTCTCGTTCGCTAAACTGACAACAATCTGCTTTTACCAGCCCCTTTCCTCTCCTCACAGTCTCATATATATTTCTTGTGGTGAGTTACATGTTGTACATTTGGCTTATGAAGACTTTGAAGGCTTGTATGACCTGCAGCAGCACTCACGTCTGTTCTCATGATCTGTGTCACTCCTCACTGTCTGTGTCGTTACCGGTAACTGCTCTGAACCAATGCATTTTGGGAACAGTAAATGTTTTGCTTAATGAGCTTTAATTACATGATTCATTATCTTGATATAATATACTGTAATCTCACCATCACTGGTCTGTTGTGTCCCTTTGCTGACCTTCTGATGTGCTTATGGCCTGTGCCTGGTGCTGTTATATCAGGAACACATCTTCAAGCACTTTCTATAATCCCCACAGTGTCATCAGAGAAGAGAGCTGTCCACAATGGCATATGTAGTGGAAACTATGTCATTAAACTCCTGACTTTAGATAATGTAATATAAATAATAGAGAAGAGGTAACTCTCTCAACATTGTGCCATTGGGTTTGGTAGAAATAATTAAATATCTAAGTTTAATATTAATTAATATTAAATTGTATTAATATTTTTTCAGTAGGACAAAGGGCATAGGACATTATAGAGTTTCAACCTAAAGTTTAAAAAAATTCAAAAAGGTTTTTTAGAATTCTTGATATTAACGCCCTACAGGAAGTGTGTGCGGTGTTATAGGGCCAAGGTTAATAGTTGGTATAATTGCCTTAAAACTATTTAACTTGGGCCAAATCATTTGGGTAGCCTTGTTTGTACCACTCCACCTGACAGAACTGCTGTCACTGAAGGCTGTAACTTAATTACAATAACAGACCCACAGGGAAGCAGGCCGACTAACCTGAGGCAGGTCAGGTTGTTGGGCCTGGCCTGTCTTAGGTTAGTGGGTCTGCTTACCTGTACCCGCTTTTTCAGCTCTACCCAAACCTTCCATGAGATTGAGATCAGGACTGTGATGGCCACTCCTACACCATGATCTTGTTTTCTTTGAGCCATTCTTGTACAAGTTTGGAAGTGTGTTTGGGTCATTGTCTGTTTGGAACACCCATGTCCAAGCTTCAATTTACTCGCTTGTGTCTTGACATGTTGGTTCTGCCACCAGTGCACCAGTCTTCCAAACAAAACAATGGCCATTATGGCCAAAACCACCATCAAAAAGATAGACTACAAGACCAAAGCACACAGACATAACGATTTGCGTTATTAGAGGTCAGATAAAACAAAAGTTGAACCTTTTGGAGGTCTTTTGGTTCATGACAACCATTGTTTACCTTAGTGGCTGATGGCATGATTTTACGTTCTATATGTTTTTTCAAGAAAAAATACATCAAATAGAGGATAAAGTTCAATGTTCTATTGAGAATTGAGTTTATTCATTAGAAATCATGTTTGAAATGTCAGTATTGTGACCAGTTGACGCTGTGTCGGGGGAAGACAAGGTGAAAAGGGCTGGGAATCAGTCTGCTACCACATACTTGAAAATAAAATCTAAAACTGATTATGTCATCTTTGACTGTGATGCATCATGAACATTTTGTTTTGGACAAATTTGAGAGAAGAGCATTAAAGCGTGCGGTTCTGTGTGCTTTTAATGGATTAGAAGTCACTTAAATGTAATGAAGCTCGGTGACCCATGTCTGCGTGGCATATGCGCAGCTCTTCTCTTTTCAATCTCTAATAATGTTGCACGTGTGGAGAGCGGGTTTACAGCTGGTTGAGGATATGGCCTAATTCTAATTCTGTACTGTCGTAAACTCGCACAATAATGATATTCAGGCGTATTCAGGTGTCCATCAACGTTAAATGCTACTACAGGAAAAAGGTTGATAGGATTTTGCATATCTTCTTAGCAACAGTTGGGAGCTGAGCTTTCACAATGATTTGAACAATTTACTTTGTAGTTTGGTCCAATTTAAGTCCAACTATGTAACTTTTTTTGTGCGGGGCGCCATCTGTACAAACTTGACTTGCATTGTTTCCAGTTTAAACATGAAAATAGAAATGAATTCACTTTGACCTTCCCTGCGCAATGATTGATATGAAGCTCCTAGTTTGGGCAAGTTAAATTTAAGACCATTTCAGACTTCATAAGACAAATGTAAAGCTTCCAAAGGTCAATAAAAAGAAAAGGAAGCACTAAAAAGGAGATCTTCTGAGCTCTGATTGTCTGATCCTCTCCGCACTAATGGACTTGTGCCGTGTCCTCAAATATCACAGTGGAAAGTCTGGATAAAATGGAACTTAAGCTGCAAATAACTGTGTACACACAATCAAACTGCATTGATCGTATGATGTCTGTGGTCCCCTGTCCCAGTCGGGTTTATGTCCAGTCACCATACGTCCTTCAATTATGCTGTCGTCCCACGCGCTTCTATTTTTATCCCTTGAGTCGTGGATGTGTGCGGACGCATGGCACTGCGCGTGTCATCAGATTACGATGGGTGTGTAAGTGGACTCCTCTTTGTCCCTCGTGATCATTTTAGACACAAGGCCACTGAAACTTTCAACAGGGTTCAGGTGCTCTACAAGACTCTTCTACAGATCACCGTTATTTCTCAGGTTACAAAGTTAAAGCAGACGCAATATTAGTCATTTACCGTGCAGTCTATTTTCATGATTGTAATCAGTAAGGCTTAAGCCATTTCATCTTGAGTTGGTCTGTAGTGCAAGTGCATCTGAGGCAAAGCATGCGTGAGGCTGATGGAGTTATGGAGCTGACTCACCCCAAACTGCTGCTGGTGCCAACCTGGTCCCATTTCCTTTTTCAAAAAATGTTAGAGCCATGCATTATTTTATTAATGTTTGGGAATGATCAGAGTGTATCTAATTGAGAAACTAACTATAATTGTGATCTAGTCTCGCTCCATTTTATACTTGCTCCTTATGCTGCTGAAGTCAGGTTGTCTTTTTTTTTATTATGGTAAAGTTGGAGATTTTAAGACTTATTTCCTTATTATGCTAAAGATAGAGATTTTATGCAGCTTATTTTTATGCTAGAGTGAGTGATTTCATTGATTTTATTTTATTTCAGTATAGAGTTATTATTCATTTATCTTGTGCTGTCTGCTCCTCCTTCCTACTGTTCTGTAACGTGTGATGTAACACTGAAATGTCCCCACTGTGGGACGAATAAAGGATCTCTTACTCATTTCTCGTATGCTTGAGTGCTTGGGCATGATGGCAGAGTGGGGAGCCCTCTCACTTCTCAGCAAGTTCACCACCACTGAAAACATGTACCAGTTGAAATGCCCCTGCTCCGGTGGTCCTGACTGAGCCAAGCATCAACATCTGGAGATGGGATCCTGGACGCTTCCCTGAAGTGAAGTGAAGTGAGGCCCTAGTGACATTGCAGGATGGATCGAATTCATGGGACATATTTCTCTACAGGGGGAATAAAGAATACCATAACCTTCTTACAACATGTATGGATCAACTCACTATTACTGAACAAAGATGTGTCAAAAGTGTGTTGTTTATTTGAGGATTTTTTTGTGGTAAGGTACTTGTTATAATTTAACTTTATCATAATTAAAATTATGATATTGTTCAAATAATTGGTGATGTCGCTTCTGTAATGTCTGTTTTTCTGTTTTGTTAGGAAAGCCATCTCTCGCTCAGGACTGCAGCACCTGGGACCACCGCAGCACTCACTGCCTCCGGCCTCCAACGGCCCCAACAAGGAGCTTCGCACCAGTGTGGACTGGACGGTGTGTTACCTCATAGTAAAATGAGCAATTCATTCAATGAGTCATAATGTACTGTATGTAAATGTGTTTTAGCACTTGCTCTAGTTGAAATCTGAGTCAATGAAAGATTTGCCAGAAAACTGCATCAGCCGTATGTTCCTGTAGAAAAGGAAAACCATACCATTTTGGCATTTGAAGTGATTGTGGAAAAAAAAAAAAAAAAAAAAAAAAGAGCTTGTAGTTGTTATTGTAGTCACTCAGTACTGTACAGCACTGGGTATGAATGTGTGTGTGAACGGGTGAAGGGATGTAAAGTGCAATCTGTGTTTAACTGTGTACAATCAATATTTGGTCTTCTCTGAACAAATTGTTAAATCTGATTTATTCTTAACGGCAAAAACAATTGACAATATGGTTTCTATGGTGAAATTTATCTGGTTTGGTCACTTGTGAATTAGCTTAAGCAGTTCAGTAGTCAGAGATAGATATGTGTGTGTGTGTGTGTGTGTGTGCTTAACATGCAGGTAGGACAAAGGAAAGAAACCATTGCCTTACATTGTGCTAGTTTAGATATATTTGCTCAGTTTGGAGGATGCTGCTGCTCACATGCATAGATAATGAAAATAACATGATGATAATCAGATGTCACTGCATGGCCACTTCCACCACGTCACTCCTGGCCTTCACCTCTCAGCATGCTGCACTAATACACTCATAACATCATTCCTCCTTATCCCCAATGAATATGCATTATAGATGTGCTTTTCCCTGAGTTCTATTAATATTTAGAAGCTGAAAAGTCAGTAAATCATCGATTTTATAATATCCCTATTGTGGTCACAAATGGTAATACATCATGTTGTTGGCATGCTGTTTGTGATAAAGTATCAAAAATAGATAAATAGAATGGTAATCATGTGCAAGTAATAATTAGTTATTAGTGTGTGATCCATGAATGTTACACAGCTTCTTTTAAGAGAGACAGTATGTTATGAGGAGTTTTGATTAGCACCTCAGATATATTGTGAAATTACCTCCTCCTCCATAACGACAATTATGTGCTTAACACATGCTCTTGACCGCTATTATTGTGAGTGCATATGGTTCATTTTCATTTGAATGAAAAGAATGCGGGTCAGACCTGGTAAAGTGTGATATCATGATCAGTGTCTGTTCGTAGGAGAATGCTGTGAACGGCGATCACCTGTGGATGGAGACCAGCTGTTCTGGAGAGCTGTGTTATCTCGGAGAGGACACGTGTCTGCTCAAGACCGCAGTGAGTATACTCCAGAGCACATTTTTGTACCACAGACAAATATGCAATTGCACAGTCTTAAAGATGTAGAAGCATTTCTTAGTGTACTTATTAGATAGATGGTCCATATTTAAGTCAAACATTGTGCATGAAGAGAGGGCAATGTTGTCTGCTCCAGGCTCAGTTCTGACTTGTAACATTACTGTCACATGAATGATGTCTCTCAATTTCAATCTGAGAAAATTGAGACTGAGACAAGTTCAGGTCACACTCTAGATCAGGGATGGGCAATTACTTTCTCCAGGAGGCCACATTGGGATAGATAAGATAATTATTGGGGAAATTTCCATGTCGCAGCGCACTTATGGCACAGTAGTAAGAGCACACAGGTAGCTCACAAAATATACAATGCATACACCATAAGTATCTGCTATGGTTCTTAGCTGTAAATGCTTTATTGTCTATATATTGATATATGTCTATCTATCTAAATATTTTATAGTGCAAAATTATATACATATCGGGCAGGATAATAAGTAGATAAAGTGACATTCAGTGGACATTCTGAAATGCAGTATTGCACATGATTACAGTATTTACTATTTAGAGATCCTTTATTGGTCCCACAGTGGGGACATTTCAGTGTTGCATCACCAGTTAAAGAACAGTAGGAATGAGGAGCACAGCATAAGACAAATAAACAAAAACTCTATACTAAATGAAATAGGCAAGGCAAGGCAAGTTTATTTGTATAGCACAATTCATACACAAGGCAAAGTGCTGAACAAAATAAGATTAAAATTAAAAGAGCATTAAAATCATAAAAGAGAAAGAAAAATCTCTAACTCTAGCATAGAAAGAAGCAGTATAAAATCTCTATTTCTAGCATAATGAGTACAAAAACGCCAACTTTAGCATGTTAAAGAAGTATAGAATCTCTACCTGTATAAAGTACTGCGTATTGAAGTGCAAGAAGTATGTAGTTGTGTGTATACATCTGTACATGTTAGCACCACGAGAGTCTGGGACAAAGGACAGCAACAGTGACGCATGTGGTTCTATATTGCACATTTTGACATTATTAAAGTTATTATTGCACAGACAAGTAAGCAGGGCTGGACTGGGACAAAAAAACGGCCCGGGCATTTTTTCCTTTTTAGCGGCCCAGGCAACTCAAAAGGTTCAAGGAGCCCTATTTGACAAAAAAAACAAAAAAAACAGCGTTGTATAAGACTTATATGAAGGTAACAGGGGCTGAAGCTGTATTAGCTACATTAGCTATATTAGCTATATTAGATTAATATCTAAATGACAAAGTAAAGGCTAATCACATAAAAACCATTCATGATTATCAAATGTGTATTTTCATTGCAGCGTGTCCTGGAGAGAATGATTCACCACGTGACAACTCTGCTTTAAGTTTAACCTTCATGCAATTGTACAAATACAGTAAATAAATCTGCTTTTTGGCTCCGAGTTCACCTGCATCACTGTCTGTTCATATCCATCACAGGCTGAAGTTTGCTGGAGCTGAATGTCCTTAATGGCCTTTTCTTTCACCGTCTTTGCGAAGGTTTTTGAAGTCTGAAAATAGGTGCTCTGACTTTATGATGAATGAATCTTTCAGTGAACGTGTTTAAAGCTTCATTATTCCTCCTGTTGCAACAAAACTTTTCATTACATCGCAAACATAAAGCAGTCCTTCCTCATTGACTGAAAGTAAATGTTCATTCTCATTCTTAGTCCAGTCTTATCGACTCTCTTTATCTTTGGGATCCATGCGCACACACAGTTAAAATTGAATATTACCCATACAAGTTTTTGCAGCATTGAAAAACGTTAAGAATGTTTTTCCTCCTTCAGAAACCACATTCAAACTAGAAATAAAATATAGCCCTCACACTCCATTTTCAGACATTTTTGAAAAGGCTCCAGGAGCCACTTCAGGGGCACTAAAGGTTGCCGACCCCTGGTTTATACAGTATGTTGAAGCAAATACTGTAGAGGATCAGGATCTCTCCAGTTTCAACAATAAAATAAAGTACAATAGTCTACATTAAACAGAGTAATAAACATGTTTCAGAGTGAGGGAGGTGGGCACAGACAATATTGTTTGTTACAGGGATGAGAATTGGTAAACATTTCTGAAATGCATATTGTCAGCCATTTGCTGGCTCTAAATCTGTTTAATCTGTTCACAACATTTTACTTTTGGGCTCAAACATGAACTTTTAATGTAATGGAAAATGTAGGTACCCGAGCTTTAATTTAGAGGAGACTGTTTTCACCGCTGCAGACTGTTTTCTGCAGCGGTGTATTTATTGGGTGCACAAATTACGAAAAGACACGCATGGTCCTGTGCGCGTTTATGGTCTTGGGTACATGGTCACGTTGCGGCTACGCGCTCACCGTGTTGTGTTGTGAGCGGTTCCCGGTGAGCGGTTCCTGCGTCCAGCTCAGAGCCGCTGGATGCGGGAACACTGCGGCCGCTGAGGTGGTGGAATCCCGTTCAAGTGCATGCAGCAGGTGCCCCGCGGACACGCGCGCTCCCCTCGAACAGTTCTCAACGGATTTACACTTTTCACAAACATGTGCTTTGTATGAGGCAGACAGACCGGCCCAAATATGGGCATCGGCCCTTCGGGCATTGCCCGGTACGCCCGATGGCCAGTCCAGCCCTGCAAGTAAGTAAAGTAAAGTGACAGTTCTACACGTGGTTTTATATTGCACATTCTGACATTAGTCCTCAGACACATATAGTTCCCGGTTCTCACAAACTGGGGTCTGTCTGTGAGGTTCTCCAGGATCCACTCAGACAGTAGGTCGTAGTCCACTCAGGTTGAAGACGTGCTCTATCACTCCAGAGTCCATCTGTGCAGGAGCGAAGGAGCCTGGAGCTATTTATTATGTTTGAACCATTATGAGGGTATTTTGAGAAAATTATTTTTGTATTGATAATGGGTGATGACATTCTTTTTCTTGGATGGAACCAAAATTTGACCAAAATTTAAGAAGGTTGAGAATTGTAGACTGATTTACTGACTAATATTTTTGACCAATTAGTACTGGGAATGGGTTCGGGCCCGCAGTTTGTCCAGGGTTGCTCTCAATGTTGGCCACATGTTATGTGTTTTTTTTGTTGAAAAGTGTTAGGTTGAAATACTGAAGATTGTTTTTCCATTGCTGGGTGATTTTGATTGTATAGGAACAAATGATCAATCATTTACAGATTTTGTGGGTTTTATATTGTAACCATTTCCCCTAATTACGTCATGTTATAAATTCAAGTTCAACTCAATGTCCTTACTGCAACCAAAGAAAGGGGTTCATAATACAATCATGTCTTTAATGCAGGGTTCTCCAAACACTTCACCCTCTATGTATGTTCATCTGCAAAGACACTTAAGACTAAATGAACTTTCATTATATTTATTCATAAGGGAAAAATTCTTTGGGCTCCGTTTCATAATCTTTTTAGTTTTTACTGAAAAAGGTAACAAAGGCTTAGAATGTTCAAAAAGTGTAAAGAAGTTAGTATCTTAAATATAGAAGAAGACCTAATGAACTGTTTGAACATTTAAAAGTTAATCAAACTACAATAAAGCACCCTATGATCCTATTTTTTCAGATAAGATAAGACATTTTATATTGGTTCTACTATTGGGAAATGTCCTGAAAGCTCTTGAAGCTCTTGTAGAGCGCAGACTTCTGCCTAGAGGCCCAGTTCCATTCAATTATCAAAATCCTTCATACACACAGTGATTCTGATCACTTCCAAATTGTAATAATTTGTTTTGTTTCCTGAAATATCATCAAAATCTTCCCACAACTGTTTGAGTTATGTGGCTCACAGACAAACGCTGGTGATCACTTTACCCCCTAGGCAGAGGTAATAAAAGGGGCGTAATGAATGTCTTCACTGCACCATTAAGTTATTTCTTGTTAACAGCGCAGGTTCTCACCTCCTCGCTCTAACATTTGCTCTATAATGGATGATTGATGACTTAAGTGGGGAGCTGCTGTGGAACACTGATGAATTATTTTGACATTTATGACATCGATATTAACACAAGGCACTTTGTTTTCCACTATGTTTCAATCAATGTGCAGATCGCCCTTCCCTACGCTTCTCTTTTTGATGATAATTTTTGCTTTTTAAGAACCCCAAAACCTATTTACTACACTGCTAGTCTTTTTCCCAATAGCTTTATTATAGTGGCATTGCAATATGTGCTGTTTCTTATGTATATTTTTGTTTTTATGATCATACGTGAATGCTGCTGATGAAGCTCACTTTACAATTCAGTTTGCAGACAGTCTCTTGTATGCAGTGAATTTACATAATTTATTCTTGAATGGTTTTTGGCATGTTTTTTTAACTGACTTACTGCCACGTTATGGTCTTGGCCAAAATCAATTCAAGTTTTAGGTCACTTGATTAAAGGCCTTCTATTTCATTTTCTTATTTCATTATTAGGACAAGAATTACACTACATTCTTCCTGACAAATGCTTATGCGTTTATTAAGATCTGTTTCATGATTTGTGGTGTTGCCATTTACAGAGGTCACAGTTCAGTCCATCTGCACAGAGAAGCGGCCATGTTGGATTTAGTAAAGGACAAATAACATTAATTTTATAATAATGAGTCATGACTTAAATGTCAAGGTGTCTCTGTAAAAGGCTGTTTTGTCTGGAGGAAGTATGAGCATTAGTGCTCTTGTTTATTGTGCTGTGGCGTGTAGCTCACCTCCCTCTGCGCTGTCTGTCTGTTTTTCCTTTAAGAAGTCGGCTCCCAGAAGGAAATGTGCTGCCTGTAAGATTGTCGTCCACTGCGGCTGTATAGAGCAGCTCGAAAAGGTACGAAACATGCAGTTAATTCCTAATTCCTCCCATTGTGAAACTGCCACATTGTTATTTAGGGAAACATAATGCGTGGCTTGTATTGAGCTATTTGTGGAACATAGATTTCCTCACAAAGTTTGTGATTCTATTCTTTTAACGAGGCTCAAGAAGAAAGGCTGTTCTGTTTAAGAGATACTTGTGTGATATGATTTCCTAAAATAAATGTTCGAGGGAGCCATGGGTGGATTATGTACAATGGCCCATGAGGGACTTTCCCAATGAGTTTTTAAAATTAGTATAAGCTGATATTTGTAAATGATCTTAACCGTTTAACAGCCAAAATCTGAGGACAATGTAGGACAGTCTTTATTAATGTAACAATGGGATCAGACCAGATAATAAACCATAGATAGAAGGGAAACTCATAATTGATGCTAGGGCCAAGATTGTCTTATCGTATTGATATTATATTGACATTGTGTCAATATTGAGATATGAACATTGATAGTATTGAAAAGCAGCAAACAAAACTACATATGGTAGAGGTACAGATTCCCCTGTGCTCTACATGTGCTGCTCTGACAGTCACAATAAACAATTTTTAATAAATGCACGTTACGGCAACAAAGATTATTTCAGACTTAGGGATCAACAGCTGAAGCCAACCAATAACGTTGTTCACGGAAAATTTTTCTGAAAAATGCTTGGTTTCCACTGAATCTGCAGTTATATTGCATGGTATCAATATGAAGCCCCAACTGAAAGATCCCAGCTCCTGTGGACTCACCACCTGCAGGAGGATCAGTGAGGGGCTGGTGCTAAGTGTACTGGGTACAGCTCTGACTGCCACCCCCCCGACCCAGAAATGGATTAAAGGGAAGAAAATGGATGGATGGATGGGTATCAATATCAAGATATCTGGCATGAACATCAGGTCCATCTGTAATTGCTTCTAGAATAACGCAAAAAGCATTTTACCACACTGAGCAAAAATATACAATAAATGCAACGCTTTTGATATTTAATCTGTTTTTTTTTACACAAATCTGGTTTCAGTGAACGTTTATTCTTTTCTTTACTGATTCACCCTAATTTACATCAGAGATGCACTGGGGCTCTTTCTTACAAGTTTAGAAAAGATAAAACATGTGCTGATTCTGTTCACAACAAAACTCTCACAAGACTTTCTGAACAATAAACCAAATATTATTTATTAGTTTCTGTGTTGTTTGTCTCTTTTCTTGTTGTTTTTGTTTTATATGGACCCTTTGTGTGTTTGAATTAAAGATGAAATATAATAATACAATATAATATATATGGAAAGAGTGATGTTCCCCAGCCTCCCTTCAGTTGTCCTCCCAATATTTTAAACAATTTACCAAATGTATATTACAGCTTTATCATTTTCCAAATAATTACAGTAATCCGCTTTCTTTCCTTAGATCAACTTTCGCTGTAAGCCGACATTCAGGGAAGGAAGTTCACGGTGTCTCCGAGATGTAAGCTCCGCCTCCCGCTGCGTTTTCTTCAGTGTCACATCGTCGTACATAGTTCTTATTCTGTGCTCTGTAATCTGACAGCAGAACGGGCTGCGGCATCACTGGGTTCACAGGAGGAGACAAGAGGGCAAATGTAAACAGTGTGGAAAGGTAACTACACATGCAAAATGTAGAAAGACATTTTAGTGAAAAATCTATCTGGATTTAAATGTCTAAAAGGAAGATGCACCAATGGAACAAGCTTGACTGATTGATTTATTGATTTAAACTCATTGGGATTGAAAAATTGCATATGTTTTTGTTAAGCTGCCATTCCATTTATGACTGTTAAAACATCATGAAATTATTATTAGAAAATGAATTTAAAACTTGGAGGCTCTAAGAACATTGGGCCTCATTCACGAACCGTACTTAAGAACACATTTGTGCGTAAATCCTACTTACGAAGATTTTACGAAGATTGTGGCATTCATGAAATTTTCTCATAACCAGAATTTCTCTTGGGTAAGTACAAATCCTACGAGTGCTCAGGAGCACCTGTAGGCACATTCAGTGCCGACATGTTTGCACGCTGGTGTTATGAAGTTCAATAAAACACAACATTGCAGTGATATGTCCGTCATATTTATGTATGTATTTATTTATGTATGTATTTATTTATTTAATTGTTAATGGTAATTTAGCCTATTTTTTAATTCATTTTGAAATGAAATGTGCCAACGCTTTATCAAATACATTGGAAATCTTGCCGTGTATTAGTGACCCCATCCTATTTATATGGGGTATTTCTTTATCCACGGGCCACAGAACAATGGCGTATACACTGCTGCTGCAGGAGGTTGCGGGGTCCGCGCTGAGTCTCTGCACTGGTCTCTCCCATGGATCTATACGGGTCTGCACTGGTCTCTCCCATGGATCTATACGGGTCTGCACTGGTCTCTCCCATGGATCTATACGGGTCTGCACTGGTCTCTCCTATGGATCTATACGGGTCTGCACTGGTCTCTCTCATGGATCTATACGGGTCTGCACTGGTCTCTCCCATGGATCTATACGGGTCTGCACTGGTCTCTCCCATGGATCTATACGGGTCTGCACTGGTCTCTCCCATGGATCTATACGGGTCTGCACTGGTCTCTCCCATGGATCTATACGGGTCTGCACTGGTCTCTCCCATGGACGGGTCTGCACTGGTCTCTCCCATGGCTCTAGACGGGTCTGCACTGGTCTCTCCATACGGGTCCGTGCTGCATGCTCCTGGATCCATACGGGTCTGCGCTGCGTCTATGTGGTCTTTCTTTGGTCCGCGCTGGTCTCTGCGCACCGGTCTCTCCAGTCAGGTCACTACAGTCTATGCGGTCTCTCCTGTCCGCGCTGGCTTCTGTGTGCTGGTCACTCCAGTCTCTCCTCGGGTCTACATTGGTCTCAGCGCTGGTCCGCGCTGGATCTCCTCCCATAGGGTCCAAAATATTTTGAGATTAATCTCAAACATTTTGAGATTTATTTTTAAATTAATACATAATATATTTTTAAATTAAGCTCATAACATTTTGAGATTAATCTCATCATATTTTTAGATTAATCTCATAATTTTGCTAGTTTGACTTTATTCTCATAATATTTCGACTTTTAAGTCAACATTTTATAACTTTATTCTCAGTCTGGCAAAAGAAGAAAAAAGTGTGACTCTTTTCCTCCGTGTAACTCTTTGCTTTAGGCCTGTTGCTGTTTCCTCTGGCGTCTGCACACGGCCCTGCAGTCCCTTATATGGGCATTAATGGGCAGTTACCTATGCAAAGTACCTATGCTAATGAAGCACCAGGCACGCGCGCTGTACTTACGAGGAGTTGGCATTCATCAATCTGAGAGAACAGCTGCGAACAATTCAGCGGCTTACGAGCGCGTTGATGAATCCCACGTAGGGTCTTCTTAGAAATCTACTTAAGAACGACTTAAAGCTGCACTAACTGACTTTGGGATTTTGAAGCAGCAAACCCGCTGGCCTCTCTCTTTCTGCTCCCCTCCCCGCACCCACGAAGCTATCTCCCCCCACACACACCCACTGTTGGGACGGAGCTAGCGTCTCCCAATATGGATAATACATGGATATGGATTTGCACGTGGATGGCGTGACCATAGAACGATAGAACCGGGAAGCGCGGAGGAACGAGACTTTCTTTTGGATGGCTGTCTTGCTGTGTAAGCAGTAACCGGTGACGAAGAGACGAAGCTTCAGGTTAGCTCCTCGGCTTGTTGTGCTAACTCAGCCGTCTATGCTAACGGAGACCTGTAGATTTCTCACAAAAGTGTGGGCCAGTGGTCCGCGGTGATTGGTCACAATCCGCGACCCGAAACACATTCTCTTCCTTCATCAAAACTCGATCTAAAATATAATGTCACGCCAGCACAAATCTGACTTTTTCGTCAAAAGGACGTATATCCCAATGCCCTACACGGACATGGATAGCATTTTCGTAATGAATACAAAAATAAAGTCAGTTAGTGCAGCTTTAAGAAGAAATTTAAGAAGTTTCTTACAAAGTTATTTGTGAATGAGGCCCATTGATGATCCGGGAAATTGAATGACATTTATTAACATTCATGGACATTAGTCATCTTGTTTCCCATGGACCAATGGCTCCTATGTGTTTGTTATTATTATTATTTTTCCCGTGTTGGAACGGTTTGATTCTCTGATCTGTGTTGGTAAATCGACAGCTTTGTAAAGTCCTTCAAGACGACAACTATAAATACTAGGCTATAACAAATATAACAAACAAAGTCTCTCTTTGCAGAGTTTCCAACAGAAAATCTTTCATAGTAAAGAAATTATTGCCATCAGCTGCTCGTGGTGTAAACAAGCCGTGAGTATCGTTTTAAGCAGCATTTTGTTCACTCTGGTTTTTTTTGTGTCTAATATTCATGAACGCATCATTCGCAGTTCCACAACAAGGTGACGTGTTTCATGTTGCATCAGATAGAGGAGTCCTGTTCGCTGGGGGCCCACGCTGGAGTCATAGTTCCCCCATCGTGGATTATCAAGGTCCGAAAACCACAGGTAGGCCTACATACACACCTCTATACTCTTAATAGTTTAGGTAATGCCCATGCAGAAAGGATTACTGTGCAACTTTTCTGGTGCTCTTGCTAACCTCTTGTTGCCATGGAGAGGTTATTTCTTTGCTTGAAATGTCCCTCGGTACGATGGAAAATGTTTTTATACTATTTATTTATAAACATTATTTAATTTAAAATGTTCAAAAAACTGAATTTGTTCAGCTATTTTCTGCACAGACAGTATCTATAACACTTTCAGGCTAAATTGTCTTTGTTAGTGAATGTTAGTGAATGTGAAAGCACCAAACAAAAGCACCCTGATCCTGTAGCAGTAAACTCACTTCTTCTTGAATACTGAAATCAATACTGTAAGGCAAGGCAAGTTTTTGTATAGCACAATTCATACGCAAGGCAACTCAAAGTGCTGAACAATACAAGATAGAAACAACCACACAATGCATTAAAATCATAAATGATCACAGTACGTTGAAAAGAGTAAAGATAAACTCCCTCAGTTGTATGCACAGTTAACACTACTGTTTTTAACCTAGATTTACTGTAGGTGTGAATGTGCCCTCAGTCAATGTCTCCAATGTACTGTAGATGTATGTGGAAGATTTAGAAGGATACAAGCAAACAGCGGACCCTCCTGCTGAATATACTCTTAGTCATTTCTTCTGATTACCATATGAGAATGCTGGCTTTCAGTGACAGGAAAGTCTGTGCAACATCTTAAAACATAAGAAGTACACTTTCCACGCACTTAAGCTCATGTTTAAAACAGTCTGACACATTGTTTTGCTGTAAGAACTCCAGACACATAAGGAAATGGACACGCACTCAGCTCCCGGAGTCACATCACATGCCCCATCACACTTTTAATTAGCGTCACAAGGGACATGGTGACACTCAAAATGTCTGTGTTGGTTTGTGTTTCCTAGAACTCCTTTAAGAACTCCGCCAGAAGGAAAAAACGCACATCTTTCAAACGAAGGGCGAGCAAGAAGGGACTGGATGTAAGACGTTTAAAATACACTGGTCCTTGCATGGTAAAAACTGTGCAATTGCTGAGCCTGACTCCTTATTGGTGTGCAATCATTCAAATGATTGTGGCAAGGACTAAAATAATCGTATTTTCATTTAATAGGAGTCCAAATGGCGGCCATTTATATTGAAGCCTCTTCCTTCTCCTCTTATGAAACCCATTTTAGTTTTTGTTAATCCCAAAAGCGGTGGAAATCAGGTTGGTGTATGTTTTCTTCTGCTGCCGTAAAATACTGTTACCTGTGTTGACACATATATGATGTCACTTTTTCAGGGTGCCAAGGTTTTACAGATGTTTATGTGGATTTTAAATCCCCGACAAGTTTTTGATCTGTCACAAGGAGGACTACGGGAGGCGTAAGTATTTTTTTTTCTCTAGGACGGATCAACATCTTTGCAGGTTACAAGTTGAATCATATTCTGTGTTTTTTATTCCCAGGTTAGAGTTGTACAGAAAAGTGCCAAATCTGAGGATTCTTGCCTGTGGAGGTGATGGAACTGTAAGTAAATGTGCATCTGTCATTGTCGCAAGCATTAATCATGACTGAAATGTAAAAATATCCATAGGTGGGGTGGATCCTGTCTGCTCTAGATGAGCTGCAGATGAACCCTCAACCTCCTGTCGCAGTTCTTCCTCTGGGAACAGGAAATGACCTCGCCAGGACTCTCAACTGGGGTGGAGTAAGTTCACTTTTTGTCACAATTCTCAAAAAGGATGTGTCACTTACACATAAGGAAATAATCCTATCTGCAGTTGGAAGTATTGTAAGTAGACAACAGCAGAGAACAGATTGTTTTAAGTGTCATTTTCCTCTTTTATGAATGAGTATTTGGGGGAAAGCCTTCGTGTTTCGGTGTCTGTGGATGTTGATGAGGCTCCACATTCACATTCCAGGAAGCCCATAGGCCCTCTTCCTGTGTTCCTCATACGCTATATTTTGGGACGGAGCAGTCATCAGATATTTGCTCTGCATATTGTGAAGTTAAGTTATGTATATGTGCATTTAACATGAACAGGTAAAGTAAATTTGTGGTTTTGCAACATTTGGACTGAGATAAATGATATATAATAAATGTCTCCTGGATTAAGGCTTTCAGTGCTTTGTTGCCAGTACAATGAAATAGTCGTGTGCCAAAAATGCATTCATTGGCAAACTCTCATTATATAACCACAGCATAAAAGTCTTTTCATCCACCTCCATTATTTTTTCAGGAGGCTTTTCTCTACCACATTATGTGACTTTGAGTTATTATCCAAGGGCAATGACTTTCAAGCTAAAATGGATGTACAATTGTTGTTACATTTATGAAGCTCAATACATCCAGACAACGTAACATGGTTGTCTGCCTGGAAATGCCTGGAGATGCTGTCAGACCAAGAAGCTAAGCAGGGCAGGGCCTGGTTAGTACTGTGATAGGCGTTGGGAACAGAGGAGGTGTGACAGAGGTTCAGGAGATAGATACATCTTAATAGGCAATACACTGTGAGATTGTTGGTGGCCGTCATTCTGACAAATGTATTCTTCCAAATACAATCAGTCGTAGTGGATTTAACCAAAGGATGGATCGTACACATAACTATCAACTAGATTTATTCGATTTAACCAATCATTGTTTTTAGAGTGTATAGACTCTATGGAGATTGGTCACTAAACTGATCTGTGGAAGAGTGACGCTGTTCACTGTATGTAATATAAACAGCTAGGCAAGATGGATACAGAACATGGAAAGGAATTCAACTTATAAATATTGCCTACTTTCTGGTGTGTTAGAGATGTGGATGTGTCACATACTTGTGATGCAGTGTAGACGTGTGCTTTAAACAGCAACACGACTGAGAAACAAAATATGTGGTCATCCTCAATCTGATGCATTAGCATCGTGCTATCAGTGTAATTACCGTCCCTTTCTTTGGATTTGCAGTTGTAATTCTTCTTCTCATTTTTGTACGCCGCCTGACTTAGCACTGCATTTTCTACTGGGCTGTGAGCGCTGGTGTGAATGTCTCTGTCTCCGAGGAGGCCCTGCAGATGAGTGCTACTATCACCTGATTGTCGTCAGTGTTGTACCTTCAGTGCCTTGTTTTAACAACCTTGTGCTGTAGTGGAACACAACATATACATGCATTTAATCAGATAAAAGTTGTTTGGAAATGATAGAAACACCTACACTGATAACTAGCAGTAACACAGGGGAGTATTACAATAGTAACACCTCAATAAAAGTGGAAGAGGGTGTTACGATCCTCTGCTACAGTTTCATGAAACATCTCAGAGAATATGATTAGAAGTCAGATTCTAGCTCTGATCAGGCCTCGTGTCTAATGGGTTACACATTGTGTTAATTATGCAGGGCTACACAGATGAGCCAGTTTCCAAAGTCCTCTGTCACGTTGAGGATGGCTCTGTCGTGCAGCTCGACAGGTGGAACCTTCTTGTGGAGAAAAGCTCTGCACAGCCTGAAGAGGGGGCTCAAAAGGTTAGTTGGCATCAGAATAATCCATTAACACCTCTAGTGTATGTAATCGTGTGTAAATAATTTATCCATACCTAATTTCTCTTCTTTTTGGACAGCTGCCGCTCAATGTTTTTAACAACTACTTCAGTTTGGGGTTTGACGCCCACGTCACCCTTGAGTTTCATGAGTCCAGAGGTGAATATTTCAACATTTTACCACCAGATTAAAGTATTTTGAGTTCAACATTTTTTTATACACTACATGCATTATGTTTTAATCGCAGAGGCCAATCCAGAAAAATTTAACAGTCGCTTCCGTAACAAGATGTTCTACGCAGGAGTGAGTATTTTCATCATATCTTTTATACCACACTGATGAACAGGCATGCACTTGTTTTGTTATTGCTGACATATAATTGTTTACACGTCATAACCTCTTCATGAACTGTACTTTTGAACGTGTATTTTCCTTTCAAGTTGCGATTTAAAGTGCTGGTTTCTTATCGTTTGGCATGTTCTTTCAATATTTATGTATGAGTGTTTTTAAAATCCTATGTTTGTTTTACAGGCTGCGTTTTCAGATTTCCTCCAAAGAAGCTCCAGGGACTTGTCCAAGCACGTCAGAGTTGTGGTGAGTGTTAACACGCTCTTTCTGTGTTCGTATCGTTTTTCATGTTGACAGGTCCGAGCAGAGAGATGGCCCGGCTTTTCAGAGCAACTGAATCGCCAGAGTCCTTGCTGAAGGCCCTGTTTCCTTTAATTATGGACAACACTATCTGCCTCTTTACTGTCCTTACACTGTTGATTGTAATTATATCTTTTTGCTGACACACTTTTCACTTTCACAATTCCTGTTCTTTTCAGTGTGACGGCACAGATTTGACTCCAAAGATTCAAGAGCTGAAATTTCAGTGCATTGTGTTTCTAAACATTCCAAGGTAAGAGGCTAAAGTCCAGTTTTCTGCTTAATGTTAAACAATGTGTAAAGTTGTGTATAGATGTTCAGAGTTTGTTGTCTGTCTGGTTTCAGGTACTGTGCTGGGACGATGCCTTGGGGAAACACGGGAGATCATCGGGACTTTGAACCTCAGCGACATGATGATGGCTGCATTGAAGTCATCGGCTTCACCATGGCTTCTCTGGTAAACACATTAATTAATAAATACAGGTTTAAATACACTAATTTCTTATTTTTGTATATGTTAAAGAATACTGTGTCTGTCTCACCAGGCTGCGCTACAGGTCGGTGGACATGGAGAGAGACTCCATCAGTGTAGAGAAGTCGTCTTGACTACCTACAAAACAGTTCCTGTTCAGGTTTGTGTTGTAACACTTATATGCATATACATATAACATATAACACAAGAGCTAATATCTCTGCAAATGCGAGCTACAAATTATTTTCACAACATAATTGTTTCACTCATAAAAGGCCATACCATTATGAAATTGTTTGTACTATTAGTGTTTTTCAATACTGCTATATGACTATTTTTACTTGCACAGGTGGACGGTGAGCCGTGTCGACTCGCACCATCCACTCTGCGGATCTCGCTTCGTAATCAGGCAAACATGGTCCAGAAGAGCAAGAGGCGCACCTCTGTGCCACTGCTGAACGAGTGAGTCCCATTACACGCACTCACAGGGACTGAGAAATTAGACCAGGAGCGGGTGAGCCCAGGCCACACTCATGACTCATACAATCTGTTTAGTGGGAGATGACATTTAGCCCTCTCACTGTTCTGCATCTGTCTTCCAACCACAATCAATGCAAGATAATGGATCCATGCAATGAAACGAAGGAAAACAAAAGAGTATCTCTGGTTGCAACATGAAATGTAATACATATCTGGAGGTTTGTGGTGACATTTAAGTAAGGACTCATAGACATGAATCAAACACAGCAGATCGAGACTCATATGTGCTACTAACAGGTGTATACTAATAAATAAATTAATAAATTAGTGTATATACTAATTTGTGTATACCTTTTGTGTAATGTCCAGCAGCCACAAAACATTTGTCTGCATGTGAGAAAAACTAAACAGAGAATTAATACTTGCTGTGGCTCTAGTAGCGAGTGCTTTTGCTTGTACATCTTTGCTACTGTGCTATCAGTATGTGTCAACTTACCTCTGGGCTTTTCTCCTCCTGTCCCCTCTTCTATTTTCCTCTCTTTCTCTTTCTCTTTTGATTCTTTATTGTTTGAATTTTTACCCTGATCTTTTTGCTTTTTATTTCCTTTTCCTGTTTTTTGTTGTCCATGTGTTTCTTTGGTTCATTTTTCTCCTTGGTCGCCTCTCCTCTCTGTATCCTTTGTGTCCCTCCTCTTCTGTTTCTGGCGTGTCTCTTTCTCTTGTGGTGTAAATGTTTGTGCGGCTGTAGTATTCAGAAGGTGTGTGCAGCTGATCTGCGCCGCCTCTCTGCTCCCCCCGACTCCTTCTCTGTGTAAGTACCTCTGTTTGTCTGCACTCGTCGTCCTTGAGTTACTTTTGGATGTGTGTGACAGCGTTGTCCTCATCATCAATCACTCTCAGGAACCCATACTACTTTTGTTGAGAGAGAAGAGTTAAACTTAAAAGTCCTTTGTTTGCTTTTCTCTATTTGTTTTATCTTTCCCTGGAGTGTTCCACTGTATGGCATAAATTATCTTGCATATATAGCAGGTGCTTTTTATTGCTATGCATTTGTACTGTGTGAGTTTGCTTCTCCACAGATCTGATCTGTAATCTGGCGCAGTGGTGCCACTACTTGAATGACATAATGTTGGCATTCAGGTGAAACTGGAAAAAGTCAATTTACTTCTATAATTCAACTTACAATGTGAAACTAATATAGCTAGACTTACTTACACGCAAAGTGAGATATACTAAGCCTTTATTTGTCATAATGATAATTGACTCACAGCTTGTAAATTCCCAAATCTCAGGCTTTGGCATGTGTCACTTTGCATGTAAGTCTTTATCATATACTGGTTTCACATTTTAAGTTAAATCACAATAACAAAAAAATAAAAATAGAAGCAATATTGTATCCATGGAAAGTAAGTTGTGGACACTCCACTTGAAAAGCTTGAGAACCTTCCAGTATTTACATATATATATATATATATGTATACATATTTTTCAGAGAGAAATTGAAGCTTAACAGATTTAAGGTTTGTTGCAGTTGACCATCGTTCTTTTTACTCTTTTACATTTACAATATGTTATAGACGTTATTCAGTCCGATTTTAAATACAAATAATAATCCCTCTCTCATCAGTCTCACTAAGAGTAGCAATTTTACCAGTGCCTCGGTCTGTATGTGTTGTATGCATGTTAATATGGTTTGTGTTTGTCTGAACTGTGCTTAACTGTGTGTATGTGTGTGCACGTTTGTAGTCAGCATATCGTCCCTGATCGTCTGCGCCTGAGAGTGAACCGCATCAGTCTGATGGAGTACGACAGACTTCAGTACGACAAAGAGCGGCTGCGGGACATCTGTAAGGCTGTTATTTTGAGCACATGCAAGCCCATTCTACATGGTTATTAATGGACGTGTGTGATTCTCATCAGCAATCCCAGTTGGCATTGTGGTGGTGAGAGGGGACTGTGACCTGGAGACATGCCGCCTTTACATCGACAGATTGCAAGAGGCAAGTGTCTTCTCATGTCAACTATATTTTCCTCCCCTCTCCACACTTTTCTCTAACCCTTTTTATTCCATCGTTTCTTTTTATAACTCTTGGCTGTTCATGAGTGGATTAGGCTTTGCACTGCTAGAGAGCTTTTTATAGGCACGTATCTCATTTGGGAAATGTCTATTAACCAGGTTAACATCTGTGCAAGTTTGTGATCTGCTGCGTCTGCCTGTTAACCTTGAAACCTGTTTGCTGTGCTTTAGGACTTGCACCAGGCGCCACCTACTGGCAACAGAGTGCACTATCAGGTATAACTGCTGCAGTTTGATATGAGCTGCTGTCGAGATGACATTTACAGAACATTATTCCCTTTTTTCCCCCAAAATTTATTTTTTAACCCTACTGGGCTGTATGAACTGCTAAATAAAGACTTCACAATATATGGACTTCACAATATATAGATAACAATAGCTCTTCACTTTGAATCTAAACAAAGTAAAGAATTATCTTCTATCGTCAGAACACCAAAGCTGAGAAAGTGTGGCCTGTTTACTACTAAGATGGGAGACAGCTGAGGCTGTAACGTACAACAACAGTGTCCCACTTCACCCACACTGCTTAGTGGCAGCCGTGGCTAAAATGTTTGAATGAATTATTATTATTATTATTATTATAATAGTAGTAGCAGTAATAACATCACTCACTTTGTGAGAAATTAAAACATAGTAATTTTTATCATCAAGCTCGTTTTGTAGCCATGTTTTGTTTCCTCATTTTTTCTTAACTTTCTCTTTCTTTTATTGTCGCTGCAGTAGATTTATCTCAAGCAACCTATTCCTTTGCATGATTTACAGGATGAGAGTCGAGGACTTCCCAGAACCAGTTCGACAAGTAGACTTTCTCCTCACTGGAGCTTCCTGGACTGTGAGTGAAGCACCAATCTTTGAAGTAACTTCTATCTAGAGATAAAATTACTCTTTGTCACATTTTCATTCATTTACTCTTACATGCATGGGTTAATCCTTAAACAAAAATAAACTAAATCATGACATGTATCCTTTCTCGGTAGCCACATCAGCAGATCGCTTCTATCGCATTGACAAAGCTCAGGTGAATTGATAAATCATTGTCATTAATCATATTTTATTATCTCCCACTAAGTTTGTCTTTTCCTCGTCTGGATTTCAGGAGCATCTTCACTTTGTGACAGAGATTTGTCAGGACGAAGTGTTTATCCTGGACCACGAGGGCCCCGTCTTGAACCAGGGCTCGTCAGCGGGAATGCCGGATCTTGTGGTGGAGCCCACAGTTGGGTACGCATAAACATTTGCATTATTAAACCACAGTAATTATGACATATTTGTTTGTAATAGTAATACAAAGAATTTCCCTTTAATCAAATTATATTTTCAGGTCTCCTTTGTCTCCAGAGGAACAAGGTAAGACGATACAAATTTGCTGCTTTCCTTTCACAGTCACCTGTTTTAATTATGAGATTCTCCACAGAACATGCCTCAACTTGAATTCACTATTTTTCGTTTCAGTTTCATTTTTTTCTCACTATGAATTGTGTTTAACCTTTGAACAACATGAAGTAGCTGTTATTGTGCAATGCTCCACTATAATCAGTCTGATCATTATACAGGCAGAATACATTTTACTTTTAATGTTATGTTTTATATCACTTTGGTTGCTGGTTTGAATAATTTGTTTTATTCTATTTTCAGCATTGTTCACAGCTGCCAGTTCTGGGGATCTTTCTATGGTAACAGCACCAATCATTTCTTTTAAATGACAGTGGAAACCAGCCCTAACACTTTTAAGTTATTTTTGTGAGCATGTTTTCAAATCAAAATTATCTCAAGTTGCTTCACAGAATTGTTACAGAAATCAATTCAATGGAAATGGAAAAATAGAAATAATTAATAAAACATATAAGAGTTATTGGTGCATAAAATAACGGGTGAACCAATGTCCACAAATGTTCATATAGTTCTTGAATTATGCCCTGTCTTTGCTGTTTTGGTACAAAAGTGTGTGAGGGCGAGGTAGCCTATGCATCTGACTGTCAAGAGTAATGAGCCAGAATTCTTAATTTTCTAATGGTCGAATAGTCTCCTCCCACAAGTCAGATGCATGTGGAAGGATACCCACTCAAGTCACAAAGTTTTTTCTGTTTACACTTCAACCACATTCTGACTATGTGTATTTACACTCCTGACTTGCAGAAGTAGAATTTAACTTGTGAAAAATAATACTGAACTAAAAAAGTATTTGCAGTGCACAAACCTCTGCCAAGAGGCACAGTTCCATTCCTTGAAGTTTGACATGTTATTCTCCTAATATTCCACACACAGAAGCATGTGGACATTAGCAACAACAGAGCATTGTGTCAAATGAAGATCATTGAAAGTAGTTTTATGTATCTTCAACTAATATCAGAATGTCCAATATAGAACCACATGTGTCCCCTGTTTCTCTACTTAGTCACTTTGTCCCATACACTCGTGCTGATATCATGTACAGATGTTTACATACAACTATATATTTGCTGCACTAGAATACACGGTACTTTATGCTTGCTTCTTTAGTATGCTTAAGTCAGAGTTTATTGTACTCATTATGCTAAAGATAGAGGTTTATACATTTATCTTGTGCGGTAGGCTATGCATTCTTACTGTTCTGTGACTGGTGATGCAACATTGGAATTTCCCCACTTATGGGAAGAATAAAGGCTCTCTTAATCTTATGTGATCGCTTTCAGCTGATGGAGTGTGTGCGTAACGGCGTGAGCTTGTTGGCCAGAAACTCCGGAGGTTGCTCAGTGTTGCACGTTGCTTCGCACAATGGACACTCTGAACTTGTCACTTTCATCGTGCAACAAGGTGAGAATATTTCTGCAATAACAAAATATCCAAATCTCTTTTGTCACATTCTCTCTAAGAATGATTTGTATTGTTTCTTCAGGATCCAAAGTGCTTTTAGATTTAACAGACAGAGAGAGGTAAGATTAGTGTAATCCCAACTTTTTAATAGTTGGAGTCTTGACTTGTGTCTGTTCTGTTGGGGCAGAGGGGACACCGCCTTGCACAAAGCAGCCTTAGGGAAGAAGCATGCCGTGTGTCGATTACTGGTAGAAGCCGGAGCGTCACTTCAGAAAACCAACTTCCAGGTAAAAAAATCGTTGCTTTATATTCTGTTCTGTTCTGCAGCATATAAAATTTTAGTGTGATATAATTGTTAAACTTTTTAGGATCTTGGCTCTGCGCCCCACATAAAGAATGACCGATGCTTTTGATCCTATGCCACCTATAGGCATTAGAGAACATGTATTTACTGCATAGTGAGGACATATAGATGTGTATCTCTGAATATACAAGAAGACTGCTGGGGTTATGCTCTTGCGACTAATATCAAAAACTAATGTTGATATGTTGTGCTACAGGGAAAAACACCAGCGGACCAAGTAGAAGGCGACACAGAGCTGGCCACCTACCTGAGCGGGCAGAAGGTCACTCCCTCTGAAGACCTGGAGACAGCAGTGTGAGGACTGTGTGAAGGACTGTGTGAAGGACTAGTCTGGACACATCCACTGTGCTCCGAACAACCTCCGTCTCTGCGGCAAAGCTAACAAGCAAACCACAAAGGCAGCACTGCAAAAGAGTTTATTGGTCCACTATTTATTTGTAATTATTTATTCACATTCTATTTATTGGTATTAACAAGTGGTTGATTGTAGGACTGTTCACAGTTCGGGATGCAAGTGCACTTTCACCCCGCCGTCCCACTATTTCCATATCATTCTGGAGACAAATTTGCATCAAAAAGGATCTAATCTTGGAATCTGTCTGAACTATTTGTTTTACAGTAAAAAGAAATCTTGGCTGAACTATACAAACATTTAAAAAGTGTTGAAAGTTTTGAAAGTAAAAAAAAAAGTATATTTTCTACCCCATATACTGTAAGTGCCAAAGACATTGCACTAATGTAGTGTCATACCATATCACTTTTATTTATTTTTTTGTAATGTGTGGAATTCTTCCGTGAAATACCATCCTTCAGCATTAACTATTGCCTAAAATTAAGTGTATTTTACAAAAGGCTTTCAGAATATGATGATCTAATGTGTTCTTGTTTCGGTTACTTGTGTCTGTCACAATGCATTCAGTCTTTCTCTTTTTATGAACGCACATATTTTAGATTTAACCATGGATCTATGATGTTGTTAGCTTTCGTATCATGTAAACAATATAAATGACATATGGAAGGCTAAGTATAAGAGTAGAGCTAGCACTGAAACCTTCAATATTCCCGTAGACTTTGTTTATTTTATAATGTGATGCACTGGCTCATTACTCTGGTCTGAACACATATAGTCAAAGCCATATGTGTACATTTCAGCGCATCCAAAGTGAAATATATTTTAAACTCATTATTTGGGGAAAGTTGGTTTTACATTTTTTTGCGTGCGTGTGTAACCAAATGACCAACCATATCTTGAAAAGTGAGGTCCTCACATCAAGTTGAGTTTGATTAAGTATAGTTTAACTATTTCTGTGTGTGGGAAGCATTTATTTCAAAGTGAGAAAAGAAACTGAGCCATACGCGATGCAATATGAATGGACTAGGCCTCTTTTCTTTGTTTACATTATATTAATGTTTCACTTATGTTAAATGTTGACCGTTTAGCACTAATGTGTATTGAATGTGCAATTTTACTTAAATGAAGGCATATGATTTGTTTTGTGTGCATGGTGTATTTTAATGAACATCCAAACATTTATTTCAGAACAATTTTACATAGAAAACCATGTTAGAGTCTATGTGCACTGAGAGAGATGCCATTGTTTGATTGTCAGTTTGTGATACACATTTATTCCCCTTCTGAAAAAAAGGCCTTTTTGGACACGTGTGCAATTACAGGCCTTTTTACATCTGTGTTTCCTATCTATTCACTATCTTCCTTTGTGTTTGAGATGCACCAAATGTGTGAAGATCATAAACATCTGTATGTACGCTTGGCCTTATGTGGACTCTCTGCTCATCGCTCCAACATAACTCGGTTTGTGGTATCGTTGATTTTGCATGACATTGTGTTACCTCCGTCAGAAGTATGACATTATTGCTGTTTTAACTATTAATCAAAAACCAAGTTCAATGGTTTATTATTGATATGTGTCTTAGTTTTGAGAGTTTTCTTTTATTTTGGCCATTCTTGTTTTATATTTCTGTTGAGGATGACAAAATTACTTGAACTGTTATATTTTCTTAACTGGTAAATGAACATGTGATACTGTAGTCGCGGCTCTTGTGTATTTCTTTTGTAGCTTATTGTTCTATGGGTGTGGGGAGTCATTGCAGCGCATGTAATCAATGTGTGAAAGGCTGCCATTTAAAATCAATTGAAAAAGAAATATGTTTATGAAAGCTTTACTATACCTGCAGTTGAGAGACCAATATGTCTAATTACATGTCATAGTTCAAAGAAAAAGGAAGTTCAGATATTTACAATTTGTGATCCATTCGAGGTCTTTATATGATGCACCTTTAAAGTAAAGTTATTATTGTAAAACAGTTAACCTCTTTGTGTGTAATGTTTGGATTCTAGGGGGATGTATCATGTATGTAACGCACACTTGAGAGATTTGACAGTCAGCTGTTAAGTTAAATATAACTTGGAAATTGGAAAGCTTTGAATTAGTAGTTTTTTTCCTTTTCTATTTGAAATATATCTTAGAAAAATACTGAAACTAAGATTAATTAAAACTGACAAATCTCATTCTCTTGAGACAAAAGTTATCATATGTATTTATCCACTTTTGTTGCTTTGAGATCTCACGGTTACGATGAGGAAAAAAGTTCTTAAAACTTATAATCGTCATTATTATTATTTTTATGACTATTATTGAAACACTGTAGTAAGCAAGTAAGTAATCTTTATTTATAGAGCGCCTTTCTCAAACCAGAGTCACTTTATGATTGTTATTTTGGGGCATTTTTCTCACTTCTCAGAGATGGGAGCGAGGTCTACAGGAGGCGCACCTTGAACACTTTGTCTACAAATATTTATACAATTAGTAATTTCCTAGAATTATAAAGAAAGAAAAAATACACAAAAAACCCTGCCTCGGTTCCATAGATGATATATCTGATGTTACGTCGCGGTCACGTGCGCAGGGGGCGTGACTTCTCTGATAGTTTCACTGCTGAGTTTGAAGCAGAAGTGATCAGGGAATCACGAAGCACACTCCTGAAGTCTGCCCACGACCATTCTGACCGTAAGTTTACCTTTCACTCAGGTATTCCACTTGTTTGAACACAACAACAGGCCTTACTTACCAAGCACCTGTTGAATGGTGTAGTTTCTGAAGTTAACCACAGACCAACGCTGAGAACGCTGTGTCATCATCAATGTTTCTTTATCAGTCAGAGAGCTCAAACTATTCATCTCAAGCTGCTGGACTTCTTTTACATTGGATAATAATCGTCTATTTTAAAGAGATAATATAATGTATCCGTAGTTTCTGTGGTGCGAAGACCGAGGTCAGAAGTCTTGTTTTGCTGAAGCCTTCCTTTTCCTTTTAACCGCAGGTGCCATAGTCACTCACATGTCCTTTACGCAAACGTTCTTTACAATATATATACTAAAATCAAGAGTATTACGAGAGCGAAATTACAACTTATTTCTGTTTTTTTTTTGTTATTTCACAACCCTTATGCTGTAATGATTAAACTAATCTGTTTTCTTTAGTTGTCATTTGTCAATATAACTTCCGCAAAGTCCTAAAATCTCTCTTAAAGCTTAACAATTGTCAGACCAGAAAGGTGCAGTCATAGTAAAATGGCGTGAACAAATCAGACCTCAACTTAAGAAATAGCCCTTTGAGTCACTATTTGACATTTTCAGCTGAGAGCTGATTTGCTCACGTTTATACTTTATGTCTGAAAAGGCTGATTTAAGATGTTGCAGAGGCCAAAAATACATGCACGAGAAACCATGTAGTTTACCCAGATGGTAAACCTAGTGTAGAGCTCGGGGTCTCATTACTTTGAGATGGTGGTGGATTCCCACAGACGTCACTCTGCCACTCCAGCCCCAGTCAACATCCAGGAAGAGATATATTGAGAGTGGACTCTTTTTAAAGTACCTGGGACTCATTATACAGACGTATTATAGGTCCCTCATAATAATACTCCCTCTTCAAAAAGAGCCGGAGCTCTACCTGCTGAGAAGGCTCAATCTTTTGGAGTGCAGGGCCACTCCTGAAGACCCTGTGACTCTATGAATCACAGAGAAGCTGGAGGAATTAATAGTTACTTAATGTAACTTAAGTTCTACGAATAGGTGCGTAGTCCCTTAGGACTTCGCTAGTGGGATATCACTCGTGACCCCCAGGTCAAACGCCAGAGAGATCAAAATAATTTGCTCCAATCACCAGCCACCTTCCTCTATAAATGCCCCTGCACAAGGCCGCACCCCCTCTTGAACTCTGCCAAGCCGGGCTGGCCTGATGGGCTCGTAGCTAAGGGACTACGCACCTATTCGTAGAACTTAAGTTACATTAAGTAACTATTAATTCTACGTCATGGTGCTACGTCCCTTAGGACTTCGCTAGTGGGACACAACGCGGAGGCCGTAGGAAAATGTACTCCCAGCAGGCCAGCGAAGGGTGATTGGAGCTCCGCCCGAGCAAGACCCTCACAAAAGTGAGAGGACTCAGGACAGAAGAAACAATGCGTGTTACAGGGCCACTCCTACCAAGGATACCCCCACGTAACACAGATATAGGTCATCCGTAGTCACAGGACGCCTCTCCCAAGGGCTCCTGACGTGGACTACCAGACCGACCAAAACACACATATAAGTACCGCACCTGTAGGATGCCTCTCCCAAGAGCTCCTGAACCAGGGCGGAAAAGTAAACCGAAGGCCCCCTCAGAGGAGGGACCTAACGGTCTAACTCAGTCCGCTGCACTCAGCACGGAATGGGCCACCGACCGGTCCGACACATCCAAAAGATAAGACCGGACGAAAGAGGAGGACGAAGCCCACGAAGCCGCACGGCATACGTCCTCGACCGACACCCCCCTGAGAAGGGCCGTAGAGGCTGCCATCCCACGCGTGGAATGCGACCTGAAGCCCACCGGGAGGGCCAGACCCTGCGTCTGATACGCCCGCCGCACAGCCGTGGCAACCCAGTGCGCCAGCCGCTGAGCCGACAGCGGGGCGCCCCTGTTCTTGGGGCCCAGACACACAAACAGCTGGCCACCCAACCTGAATGACGACGTCATGGCCAGGTAATGCCTCAGCATTCTGACAGGACACAGAAGGTGCCGCCGCTCCTCCTCGGGGGAGGCATGCGGTGGCAGATAGAAAGCCCTAATCCTGATGACTCTCGACTTAAAGGCCGACGTGATGACCTTGGGGAGAAAAGCCGGATTAGGCCACAATACCACCATGCCGTCGCACAAGCGCACACAAGTCGCCCGCCCCCTTAGCAGACGCCAACGCCAACGCCAACAAGAGGGCCGTCTTAAAGCGACACACTCGGGACTCGCCTCCGCCGCCGGTTCAAAAGGCGGACCCGACAGCCCCCTAAGGACCACCCTGAGGTCCCAAACCGGGGCGTTCTCTGGAGCGGGGGCCTCCTCCTGCGTGCCCCCCGCAGAAAACGTTTAACCAACGGATGAGAGCGGGCTGTGAACCCCCCGAATCCGTCGTGACCCGAAGTAATGGCTGCCGCGAACACCGCCAAGGTGGCGACAGCCCTCCCCTTGTCAAAGAGCTCCTGTAGGAATCCCAGGACCCCCTCCAGCGGGCAACGCCTGGGATCCCAGGAACGAAAACCGCACCAGTCGCTAGAGAGCCTCCACCTCGTGGCGTAGGCCCTCACAGTGGACGGCGCCCTCGCCCCCTGAGTGGTCTCCACCACCGCAGGGGGAAGACCCAGGTCTACGAGGTTCCGCCTCTCAGCCTCCAACCCAGAGCCTGCGGCCGATTATCGGGCGTGAAAACAGGGCTCCTCCCCCCCTGGACTAGAGCCCCCGTCTCGTCCGGGAGGGCCCAGGGCTCCATCACCGCCATGCCCCTCAGGAAGGGGAACCACCGGGCATGCGGACTGTCCGGCGCCACCAGGATCCCCGACCTCCTCTCCTGTTCGATCCTCCGCAGCAGGACCGGCAGGAGACGCACTGGTGGGGAACGCGTACAGCAGGCCCCCTGGCCAGGGGTAATGAGCCAGAGCGTCCACGTCTAAAGGCGGCTGGTCCGCGGCCCTTGAGGCGAACCAGGACGGGCACTGTGCGTTTCCTGCACTGGCGAAAAAAGGTCGACCACTGGACGGCCGAACCTCCGCCAGCTCTCCGCAGCCACCCCTGGTGCCAGGCCCCACTCGTCCTGGAGTGGGCCCCCCCCCTGGACATCCTGTCGGCCCCCACGTTCCGGACCCCCGGGACGTGGCGCGCCCTGAGAGACAGGAGGTGAAGCGCCGCCCACAGCAGCGTCACCTTCGCCATGCGATGGAGAGCGGGGGACCTGGTGCCCCCCTGCCTGTTCAGATAGGAGACCACTGTGGTGTTGTCTGAGCGCACCATCACGTGCCTCCCCTGCAGCTGAGGAGCAAAGTGCAGCAGTACCCTGTGCACTGCCTCCATCTCCAGCAGGTTGATGTGACGGGCTCAGTCCGACCAGCAGCCTCCTACAGAACTCTGGCCGAGGACCCCGCCCCATCCTTCGAGCGACGCGTCCGTGAACATCTCCACGTGAGACACGGCGCCGGCCAGAGTCACTCCGTCCCGTAGAAGACCCGGAGTGAGCCAACCTGATGTTCGATGCTGCCACTTGGGGAACCCAGATCAGCCTCCCCCCGTCCCGGGAGGGGTGAAGCCTGAGGCGTGAGAACCACCTCTGAAAATTCCTCGTGTGGAGAAGGCCTAGCCGCACCACAGCATGAGCCGCCGCCATCATTCCCAGCAGGGACCTGAGGCGCCGAGCGGGGACTCTGGGGCCCGCCAGAACCTCCCCGGGCAGACGGGTAGTGTTCATCCGTCTGTCCACTGACCATGCAGCACGGAATGTCACAGAGTCTAGCTGCAGACCGAGATAGATCATGCGCTGAGCCGGTTGCAGCCTGCCTCTACGTCATGGTGCTACGTCCCCTAGCGGACTTCGCTAGTGGGATATCACGTGCACCTATTCGTAGAACTTAAGTTACAAAGGTAACTGTTAATTTTCTCCCTGTTAACCACAAAGCCCAGGCGCTGTATGTGGGACAGGACCCAGTGCGTATGACTCACGGCCACTTCCCTGGATGAGGCCAGAATTAACCCGACGTCTATGTAGATTAATTCTTACCCCTGCTCCACGGCGCGAGTGCGTAGCCCAAGGGGAAAACGACAGTACTCGTAATTCCTCTCTCCCACTGCGAAGCGCAGAAACCTCCTGTGTTCTGGCACTATGGGCACGTGGAAGTACGCATCTGTCAGGTCTATGGAGCACATCCAGTCTCCTTCCCTGACACACTCGAGGAGCTGCCTTGTGGACAGCATCCGAAACTGCCGTTTGGAACTGCACTCGTTTAACACGCGCAGATCCAGAATGGGACGCACCCCGCCTGATTTCTTTGGCACTAAGAAGTAAGGGGAGTACAGCCCCCTGGTGGCGTCCTGCGGGTCTACCTCCACTGCTGCGCCTCGACTCAGCAGAGAGGAGACCTCCGCTTGTAGTGCCTCTGTCGATCCCCGTACCTGAGAGCGTACTGCCCGTACGCCTCGGAATGGTGGTGGCTTTCGGAAAAATTGCAGCGCGTAACCTCTGCGCAGAGTTTTCTCCAGCCAAATATCTGTCAGTAGGCCCTGCTCCCTCCAGATGTTGTATAAATCTGTGAGGGGCGGAACGGGAGATGGAACACGAGACGTCACGGCCCCGCCCCCTCCTGGTGTTCCTAGCAGGGAGGGGGGGGTGGACGAAAGGGCCGGGGGGCCCCCTGCGTCACACCGTGAGCGCCGGAGGCGGTCACGTGTCCTGCAGGCCCGACGTCATAAGTACGGGACTGCTCACCACACGTGACTCGGCTGCTGTGCCCCCCCCTGGCTCTTGCCTCATGGAGGGGGGGGCGAGCCCCTGGAGTGGGAAACCCCGTGTCAGCCTTGTAGCTCTGCTCACCACACGTGACTCGGCTGCTGTGCCCCCCCCTGGCTCTTGCCTCATGGAGGGGGGGGGCGAGCCCCTGGAGTGGGAAACCCCGTGTTAGCCCTGTAGCTCAGAAATGCTAACACGCGTTCGGCCGAAGCACACACATATCACTCACCAGATCCCTCCGCCTGACCTCTCTCTGGGAGGGCATAGTATGGATCAGAGAAACCGGAGCTCGTAGTGCACTGCACGCCCCTCTCTGGGGCTGCAGGCCTAGCGAAGCAACGTTATGTGCCCGGGAAGTAACACAATCAGAATTCACAATATTTGACATGTTACATACCCCCAAATGAGACTCAGAAAAGTAATGGAAATGCCGGTCGGCCTTTATTGAAGGAAACATTTTTCCACCCCGGCCTCCTCTACCATAGGGAGGTCGGTGGTGGGTGCGTTGCTCCCGCGAGCCACCCATGGGTCTGTCTGGACCCGGGGGCCTCGTCAAGGGGGGACGATGGATAACAGAGCGCGGATACGGGTCAGGATGCCTCCCGGGCCAACGCTCTCTGCCTCTGTCCCGGCTCCGTAATGGCTGGTGGGCCTCGCGCCTCGGTGGGGGCTAGCCTAGCCGAGTCTTTAGCTGCAGACTCCAGTCTCGCCACCCAGGCCTGCATGTCCGGGCCGAAGAGGGACATCTGAGAGGTGGGCAGGTCCAGCAGCTGCCTCCTCTCCGCCTCCCTGATATTAGCCAGCCCAAGCCAAAGGTGCCTGGCCCGACTTGGGCTGCTGCCATGGAGCGGCCACCATCCACAGCTAGCGTCTGGCACATGCGCAGAGTCGCGGCCGAGGTGGTCCTCGCCTGTGACAGGAGGTCTCCACTGAGCGCCTGTCCAGAAGAGAGCAACATATCCAGGGCCCCCGTGATGAATGCCATGTAGTTAGTCAATGCGAGGACCTGTGCTGCAATGGCATAACATCTATCCGGCATCGCCAAGACATCCTGTCTCGCTCGGAGGGAAGGAGAGGTCTGGTGCCGGGCCACACGAATGCGGAGGGCTGCAGGGCCATGCGGACTGAATCCTCGGTGTCCTGGCCACCATCCACGGCTAGCGTCTGGCACATGCGCAGGAACGCCGCCGAGGTGGTCCTCGCCTGTGACAGGAGGTCTCCACTGAGCGCCTGGCCAGAGGAGAGCGCCCTATCCAGGGCCCCCGTGATGAAAGTCATGTTGTTAGCCAATGTGACGACCTGTGCCGCATTGGCATAATATCTATCCAGCCTCGGCAAGACATCCTGTCCCACTCGGGGAGAAGGAGAGGTCTGATGTCGGGCCACACGGATGCGGAGGGCTGCAGGGCCATGCGGACTGAATCCTCGATCACCGGTCCAGGACCAGTCCTGCCCGCTGCAGTATATGTCGTACCCCAGAGCAGGCCTCTTGGCTGCTAGGGGCTTAGGCCACTCACGTGTCGCGTAATGGACGAACGGGTCCATCCGCGGGCACAACGTGGGTTTTATCCTCCTCCTCCCTCGAGTGGTGGCACCCACAGAGGTGAAGTCCTCCACCATCTGGATCCAGTGACGACGTCCGACGCCGGAGGGCGAAGGGAACTCGGACGAACAAGGAAGACATCTCAGAATGAAGAAAGTACTGTGGTAGATCTCAAACGGCGCCAGAGTGAAAGAGGGGGTGCGGCCTTGTGCAGGGGCATTTATAGAGGAAGGTGGCTGGTGATTGGAGCAAATTATTTTGATCTCTCTGGCGTTTGACCTGGGGGTCACGAGTGATATCCCACTAGCGAAGTCCTAAGGGACGTAGCACCATGACGTAGAACCAGGAAGTCTGGTAGCAATTGTTTTGTGTGCTCTTATTCCCACTGTATTAGGATGCAATACCAAAAGTTTCCCAGTGTGGTATGAATAAAGGATTTCTTAACCTTTCTAACCGATTACACATGTTATTTTTGTGGTTCAATGTTAAACTTTGACAATCTTCTCCCAGGTTAGTGCCTGCATACCCCCAAGGGTACTTACTTTTTTATTTGGCTCCCTCCACACTAAACTGTATCAATGTGTTACATTTTGGTTAATGACACGAAAAAGTCCCGAAATGTCCGCGGCCGTTACCTCTGAATGTTCACAGACCCACTCTTGTTTTGTTCCGAGCCTGTTTGTCCAGTGGAGGGCGCTCTACTCAAACACATATTCGTCCACGCCCGTATTATTAACAGCGCTCCAAGACAGCCGTTTTGGACGTAACAAACAAAAGTGGACACAATTGTTACGTCCAAACATTTTTAGTTCATTCATTTATTTTATTGTCGCTTGAAGTTAGATTGAACAATGGTACAGTTTAGTGTGGAGTGAGCGATTTATATTATCAATCATCCTGTGGACCCATCACCTGCTGGAGGATCAGTGAGGGACTGGTGCTTTGAGCATGGGCAGCTCTGACTGCCACTCTCCCTGACCCAGAAATTGATTAATAAAGGGGAAGAAAATGTCATGAGCCAATTCATACGATGTAACCAAAATTACAAGCAATTAAAACAGTCAATAAAATATTAGAAACAGTGCAAGTACGTATGAAACGTATGAAGCAAAAAATATAAAAGTTAAATTGCTCCAAAATGAGTTGTATGATAATACAAGATAGATAGATAAATAAGACAGTTTTCAGCCTGGACTTAAACATTGGCCTGTCTGAGTATTATATGATGGATTTATTATAATTACTCTTATCCTCAGCTTCCAACAGTGGAACATGGCGACTGGACGCGTGGAAATCCACGACCCTCTTAACAGCCATCATGGGACTGACCACACTGACCAGTCCACCCACACTGAAGGCATGGTGGAGTTTCGGATCCTCATGGCCTACGCACAGAGGCGCAGACCAAAAGACTTAACCAAACCTTTGGATCAGGACAATAACAACACTCAAAATGGTTTTAAAATTATTGGTGGTTCAATCAAGTCTGAAGATATTACTGCTGAGAAAAAGAAGAAGAAGAAAATCAAATTTTGGAAACGACTGTCTAAAGCACTGACCTGTTTTACACCACAGACCAAGGATGAGCTCCCCAGTCGACAGGGAGCTGACAGTGCTCCATTTAGAAATGGTAAATATTAACTCTAACATTGTACAATAATTATTTGTGTGGCATACTGATTTACTTTTGCAGATGTGCATCATGAAGAGGATGTGGAGGATGTGGCATCTCGACTGGCAGAAATCTCGGCTGAAATCTCATTTGTTCTTCCAGAAACAGATATAGAAACAGATTCTGAAGATGGTGAGTGTTACCAGTGTAGCTTTTATTGTGCTTTAATGTGGCTTGTCTGATGGTGGGACTGTAGACACACTGTAGACACACTGTAGACACACTGTAGACGCACTGTAGACACACAAAAAGCTAGGGAGGTTTGGTTTTCTGGTGAATTTTATAGAAAATGTAAAGTTCACGCAACAATGACCCTTGGATAGAAACACACAATTAGTGATTTCCTGACGCATTTTACTGAAAGACAGAACAACCACAGTGGTGAATCTACCACTGCAAAACATTACTATGGTGCAAAAACGTATTAATTATCCCTAACTAGTAGTGTACATGGAGTAATTTACCCACATACAAAAAAGATCTCAACAGTAGATTATTTTTAGTCTGTATACTAATAGGACAAGTGTACAAAAGAAGAAATCCTAAATGATTTTTACCAACTTATAAAACATCATTACATAATTTGGTATAGTAATTATTTCGCAAACAAAATAACACCTTTTTTAATTTTCAAATCATAAGCATTTCTCTAACCAAACCGTTTGTTTTAATGGCCATGATTAGACGAGGTGGAGAAAGTGATTGGCTTGCTGCTGCGAGATGCTGGAGACAGATTGTATGAGAGGGTAAGATGCTCCTAAAAACCTTAATTAGCATTCACCAAATGCATATTAGTTATTCATTTATTGACTTTATTTTCACAGGAACTTAAAGACACGAACATTGCAGCCCTTCTGGGAAACTATACCTTTTTTGAAAGAGTGATATTATCCCTCCTCGTCAGGATGGGCCTCAGTAAGAACTCTGAAAAAGTCGATCCTGAAGAGTCTGCAAAGTCCCAAATTGCTGTTGCTTGTGAAGTAGGGAAAAATACAAAGAGTATTTTTGAACATGAGTTTTGTGACCATTTGTGTTAAGTGCTTTTTGTCCCCAACAGGCCACCACACGCCTCTCTGTTTTGGACACACTGCCCATGACCCGGCTCATGAGCCATGGAGCCACCTTCTTGAACATGCACTTTTCGTCCTGGGCTGAGCAGCATGGCGGTTATGTATGTGGACGTCCACATGTCTGGTCTACTACAAAATAACTCTAATACTGATGTCATTTCTATTATTAATTTCAGGAGAAGGCTTTTGACAGTGAAGAAGAGGATGATGAAGTCCATTGAGGATGATTGAACCTACCTTATATCTGACTCAGGAAGCCAAAGTGTGTTCTGCAATTGTGACCTCTGGCCCTGGGCATTGTGCATTGTGACATTTTGAATGTCTTATTTCTTATCAGTGTTTACAATGAAATAAAACTCGGTGCAATAATTATTGTTAATAGCCAAAGATCATAAAAGATTGAGCTTTTTTTGCACTGGAGGGAGTAAAAAAATGTTTTCTAAGATTTTGTTTGTGTATTTATTTGTTCTGTAAAATGTTTCCCTAAAACATGAAAATAAAAAACAAAAACGAACAAAAGCACTGCTGTGATCTGTGCTGGATTGGTAATAATGACATAATTATTACAAAGAGCAATAAGGATTTAAAACCGTTCTGTCTTGTCTTTCAAAAGAACCACTTTTTTTACTCAAGTTACTTGTTAACATCTTTTGGCTGCAGAGCAAAGAGCAATACATTTTATTTCAACACAAAGAATGAAAGTTTAAGTGGTACAGCAGAGTTGAACTAAAGAAGGACGTGGCTAAGCACCATTGTTGTAGATCATATTTTCTTCCTTGTACATTCACAGTGTGAGGTCAAGTCGAATATCTCGAATATCTTTGTTCTGTGGCGCAGGTGAGAAAATGAGACCTAACCAGTTTTAGCAGTAGCATATAACACTACCCTCTGAATGCCGGCTCAGAGGAGAGGGTTCTCTCAGCAGGATTCTCTCCGGGTGTAGCTCACAGCGCGTGCAGCATGTTTAACGTGGTGCACCAAGGTCGGAAAGTCGTGCCCCGTGCGTCGCTGTCGGACGACACCCTGATGGGTGTGAAGGCGGTCAACATCACCAGCCGTGAGACCGTCACAAAGACTCCGGAGCTGACGTGGCCAGTACCGGACAAGAGGATGCGCGGGGCAGCGAGGGTCCTGCGCAGGCACCTGTCTCCTCAGCCAAAGAGTCTGGAGGCGGTGTGGCAGCAGAGGGGTCACCCAGCTCCTGACTTGTCAGACCCACAGAGAGAGGCCCCCGAGAGCCACGACGGGGAGCTCTCGGGAGGACCACCGAGAAACAGGAAAAGGGGCGTCAGACCAGACGTGAGGACCATCTTCAGCGGCGAGAGAGACCCCCGTGTCATAGAGGAGTCTGGAGAAGGGCACGTGTTTGGGCCCCTGTTTTCGGGCGAGGGGTGCTGGTGTGACGTGTGCTGCCAGTACATCCTCCAACAAGGACTCACCTGCGCAGGTGAGAAGACCCCTGTGCTGTTGTTCTGTCTTTGGTGACGGTCCTCTTCTGGCCCCCGCATTGCGCCTGTACTGAACTATAGTTTGTTCTAAACTCGATCAAACATGAGGGTAGTTTAAACGTTTTATTAATAGTTTTAGGACTCATACGTGGTGAGAAAATAAACCATTTGCTCACTGTCCTGTGGATAACCTCAGCACAAGCAGCAGTTACAGGTTATATTTTTCACCTAAGGCACGGCTCTGAAATACAACAGGAATGTTGTTGGTATGTGGACCAGCAGGTCCAGGTTGACAAGGAAACAGTGAATTGCTGCAGAGCAAGTGGCCCTCCTTCTGATCTCTCCTCCTGTGACGAACAATTACAGGAGTCATTTACAGATGAGGCATACCTGTTGGGTCACTTATAGCTACAGCCTAAAAATGATATATGACTATAAATTATATATTACAAAAATATACATTGAATGAACCGTTCAGGTTTACCACCATGAACTGACTCTGAACCACTGGCTTCAGTGTGTTTGGGTTTGGGGCAGTGCTTTTACTCTGAGCTCCTGTTACAGGGAACAGCCACTCCTCAACAACAAGCTTCTGACTTTGCTTTTATCCTTGAGAGGATCAGCTCCTCACTGGTTGACTTATTAAACACAAAGAGTACTGTGTTAAGCAGTGAGGGACAGCAGTCACTCATAAACAAGACCTGCACACACCAAACTGACCTGCAGTGTACGTGTTGGCCAACACACACTTGTCCAACTTTGACTTTGGCCAACTTCGACATGTTTCTATTCTATTCTAACTGATATTACAGCGATGAAACATCAATGATAACAAAATCACTGAACCTGTGGTATTGGAACCAATGATATCAAGGCAAGGCAAGTTTATTTATATAGCACAATTCATACACAAGGCAATTCAAAGTGCTGAACAAAATAAGAAAGCATTCAAATCTGGAATAATCTCCCTGAAGATGTGAGACAGGCCTCCTCTCTGACAATGTTTAAAACCACTGTGATTATTTATGATTTTAATGCTTTCTTGTTTTGTTCAGCACTTTGCCTTGTGTATGAATTGGCTATACAAATAAACTTGCCTTGCCTTGCCTTGCCTAAAATCATAAATAATCACAGAACATTAAAAAGAAAGATAAAAATATAAAATCCCTCAGTTGTATGCACAGCTAAACAGAACTGTTTTTAACCTGGTTTTAAACATTGTCAGAGAGGAGGCCTGTCTCACATCTTCAGGAAGATTGTTCCAGATTTTAGCAGCATAAATCTGAAAAGCAGCCTCCCCATGTTTAGTTCTGACTCTGGGCACTAACAGGAGTCCAGTCCCTGTGCTCCACAGAGTCCGGGCCGGTTCATATGGGACTAACATGTCACTAATGTATTTTGGTGCGAGGCCATGGAGAGACTTGTACACAAGCAGAGCTGTTTTAAAGTTTATTCTCTGAGCCACAGGAAGCCAGTGCAGAGACCTGAGAACTGGACTAATGTGGTCGTACTTCCTGGTTCTAGTCAGGACTCGAGCAAGAAGCAGTGGTGGCAACTGGTGGCAAGAAGCAGTGTGAAATAATAACAGCAGCAGTACTTTAAAATCCACTATTAATGCTATATTTCAGAATGTTTTTGGCATGTCTTGACTAAAACAATCAGCAAGGATAAAGACTGATGTATTGTGGGTAACATAGCAGTCTGGACATAGTGCCAGTGCAGTGCGTCAGCTGCCCTCTGTTTGTTCAGGGGCTCTAACAGTTTGTCTCCAAAAGACACAGAATGCCCTGTGGCTCGGCCACACTCACAATGAGGGCCACAGCTCATGAGGACAACTACTTTAGACCTGGGGCTTCATCCACTCTCAAGATGACAACTGTGTGCCTCTCACACTTACATTAAGTACCTTTTGGAGTTTTGGAGTTAAGTGAAGATGGGATTTACAAAAAGTTTTGGACGGTCTTTAAGAAAGATGTCTGGATTTTTCATTTGGTTTCCAAGACTGATGCGTGGATCCAGGAGAATGGAGATCAATGTGCTGTGGAGTAATTCTGGTGAGTGAAAGAAGATCTGAAAGTGCTTCCAAAAGTGTTGAATGTTGGACCTTCCATACAACTGTGTAGTCTTTGTGTATACCTTAAATGAGATCAGTGTAATGTATGTGATTTGTAACCTTACAAAGCACCCTGTATAAAACATTAACCACAAGTACAAGGAATGCATTTCAAGTTTGAAGACACCGATATGAACAATGATGCAGATAAACTGGTATAAAACAAATGCATATTAATCGTAAGGTAAAAATTGGCTACATTGACTTATTGTGATGTATTTCAATGCCTACAATGCTCTTCTTTGGCTCCAGGACAATGGCATGTCTGTAACAATGCCAGGCCTACCTTTGACCTGAGTGAACAAAACATGAAAACTGAAGAGTAAGTGTCAGACTGGCCACACTGTGACATTTGTGCCGAGCTGAGTGAGATCAGCTGTCCAGTGTGTTTTAGCCGATGAACGCTAAAAGAGCTGCAGCCTCATTGTCCTCCTCTGTGCATGCAGGCTCCATTAGATGCTCCGTGCTAAAAGTCTTTCACAGATGAGATAAAATACTTAAGTCTAGACGGTAACCTGTGACCTTTTCCAGCCTCAGAGAAGAGTTCGGTTTGGGTTAGAGCGTATCCAAACGTTTTCATTTGAAGGCCGTGCCACAAACCGGTGAACATAAAGTAGCATTCAGCCAACGTTTTACGGTTAACACATCTGATTTCAGTGTTATAACAGAGCTGTCTAACACAAGAGGTTTAAAACTGATGATAACGAGGTAGAGTATTTTGTAACTGTCCATTTATTATTAATATTAGGAGATCCTTTATTCGGGAAAATTCAGTGTTGCATCACCAGTTACAGTATAGGATTGAGCACATAGCACAAGGTAAATGAACACAGAATAGGATAAAATAAATGAATATAGCTCTATACTAATTATACTGAATAAAAAAGATAAATAGATAATCTGTAATAAGAGGAACAAATTAAGTAAAAAATCTCTGACTTTGAAGCATTTGTGAAGTACTGTATATTCTACTGCAGAAAAATATAGTTATGTGGGCAAATTCAGCAACAAGCCCAGGAAAAAAACACAACAGAAGTTTGGACATTCTGTATGTCCCTCAATCGAAGTCTCTCAAATTCACAAAATTTGCAGTTCTAAATGTAGAATGAGTGTGCCTTTGAATGATACTAATTGTAGCTTACAAACAACAATCTATATGTTGTGTAGAACCAAGATGCAAACTTAAAATTGGGTTTGTTGAAAAAAAAGGTTCATGTCCTGCACATTTTAATTCAAATAATTACTGAATCTATCTGGTCTTTGTGCTACGGTCAAGCTGTTTGGATCAATGAAGACCACTAGGCCCTTTATTGACTACACATGATTACATTACAGTAAATGAAGTTGAATGCGGACAGCCACTCGTGATATTTCTCGCTTGGAATGAGAATATATCAGGGGTTTTTGTTTGGATTTGCAATAAGTCACTATAGCACAATTTTAGATATATTTGTTTGCAGTGTAGCCCAGCTGGAGTTATGTTTAGGACACTGGAAGCCCTAACCCTGGTCTGTTTTTACATGAGGGATTTCTGTGGACTCAGGAGCAGACAGAGGACCCGAGTAAAAACAACACGATTCAATCCCTACAAGTCAGATCAGGATGAGAGTCACATCGGAGAGAGAGAGAGAGAGAGGCTGAGTCAGCGATCAACATGTGCGGCCTTCTATCTGCCATCACGCTGGCCTCTATTTGACTGTCAAATCACACACTCAGCACAATAACGAAAGCTCAGATACAGGCAGGCAGGGAGCTCAGCAAATTAGCATCTGACGAGGATAACACGCCAAGAACAATAACAATGGATCTGTGAGGTAGAATTGTATTATTATAGATGGGAGTCGCCATGTGCAAGCTGTCGGACAAACTCGAACAGCAGGTGATGAGGAAGAGGACTGCAGGTAGGAATAAACAGTATTTTGAAAAAGTAGGCTCAGCAACAGCAAGTTCTCTTTTTATTATTATTTTTTTAAAGCAAGATGTGTTTGTTAATGTAAAGAGAGTGGAATAATGTAATTGCAAAAAGCTCAATATCTGAACATTTTTCTTTGTTTTATCAAAGTGGCATATGTATGAATGTATGTGTATATGTATGGGTTTCTAGAGATGAAATTCTGCAGTTTGACATTATATTGATGCGTTGCAAATTTTATCATGCTGCACAACATGTAACAACCTTTTAACTTCTCTCTTTCAACTGTGCAAAGAAAATGTATAGTTATTCTGGGCGAAAGATCAAATGTTTCCATCATTGGTATAGACATTTTCTGTGCTTTATAGAACAATATTTAGTTCTTTTCAGTCATTTAGAAGTATTGCTTTTTCCACAGTAATATCATCAGAAAACCCATATTCATACTGTTGCTATTGTTGCCTCTTAATACCTCTCTATCACAATACATGATCCCATCCCCAATTGGATCCGACAGTAAAAAGATGATGTAGGCTATATGATTTGACATTATGTTACTTATATTTGTATATAAACGATTGGTTTTATGCAACATTAACTTGCACTATTGATGCCCTTTGGTGCTTTTGTTCCCAGCTCTCTGATATCAAGTGATAATTTGCATACACGTTACAACCACAGTCCATGATCTGCTCTGATGCTCTCGTGATGTCTGCTGCAGGTTGTAAATATGTGTGTCATGCTGCCTGTCGAGACCGAGTGTCTTTGGACTGTCATCCTGTGGCGTCCCCCCACACCCCAGACCACGTCAACAACAACACACCGCTGCATGTGAGTACAGTCAGAATTTTTATACGGAACATTGTTTATAAATGAATCAAAACAAAGCCCTATCATTTATCTTGTCAAGTGAATGAACATTAATGGCCCATATTTTCTATTCAGTTTTGAGAAGGGGAGAAAAACATGATGACATTTCACCACTAGAGGGCAAAACAGTCTTATTTTTATTAGTACTTGGTTCTTGCTCTTTCTCATTTTAAGATCAGTACTGAATAACAATGCTTTAGAGGTGCAGTGAAGCTATTCCCAATCAAATACATTTTGGATCTCTTGACTAAAAAACCTTTGAGAACCAGAATCTTTGGGAACTCAAATTTTGGTTCCCAACCCTCAGGTAGACTTTGTGGAGTCTCAGCATACTACATTCTATATAATAAAGAGTAACTTGTAAAAATGCACATTATTACTTCATACAAATAAGAGTCATAATGAATATTGCCATTTGATCATATCTTGTAATTAATCTTTTTAATAAGCAAAAAGCTTCAATTCTCACCGGGTAAAGAGCTGTTGTGTTTGTATAGAATATTGTACTCATGTGAATAGATTATAAATGAAGTCCTAAGAACGATCATTGGGACAAAACACTTGACCCACATTGCCGAGTATCAGTCAGGTGTGTGTGCATGAATGATTGGTGGTAGTCAGAGGGGCCCGTGGCTCGGATTAATTACCTCTCTTCTGTCAGTCTGCCCCAGAGCAGGTGCGGCTACAGTAGTAGTTTGGCACTCCTGGGTATGGAGTGAACGAATAATGTATTGTGAAGCATCCTTGGGTGTTACCAAAAGCGCTGTATACTGTAAGTACTGTATATTACAGTACAACTTGTTAAACGCTTTTATTAGTAAATGAGTGTTTGATATTCTGTGCATGTTGTGTCCTGTGACAGAGGGTCATGTGAGTAATGAACAAACATGTCAACACCATTTGATTTAGTTTCACCTGTCTCAGTGCAGCGTGGACCTCAGGGAGCGCTCCAGCTTCAGTTACTGTTGAAATGTGACCTGAAATATAGACTTACAAACAAAGATATATGTTTCTAGGATATTTGCATTCACTGCTATTATACTTTAAATTGTGTTTTATTAAAGAGTATTAATGATACAAACACATTAAAATGATTTTCTTACTTGAATACAACTGCAGTTTCTTACAATTGTTACAGCTGCAGTAAACAGTGAAAAAACACTTTATTACAGAGTTTATTGCTATGGATGGATTCCTGTTGGTGCTGGCTTGTAGTAAATATTTTAGTAATTTTGACCAAAATCAAGTTATGGCCCTCTGAAAAATCTGGCCCTCATGAAACTTGCCCTTTACATAAACAGGTCAGAGAATGCTTGTGGAGGAGGAATGCTGTTTTTCATGTGACGTTTATTATTTTTCAGAATTCCAACAGCCTTTTCTTAATAATGCAAATCATGTAAACAGATAGATCACTCTGACTCATGAATCCCATTGTTTCCTCTGTAATAGTTTTGCCCCTATAGCACCAGTCAAACCCCTGATTGAAGGCCCCCTGTGTGACCTGGTGTTCATTAGGATTATTAAAAAGCCAGCGAAAACTCATGAACATTCTTCCCAATACAGACTCTGTTGGTTTTTCCTCCCTGTGCATTGTGCTGGAAGCTTGTGTTTGTCTTTCCCAGTGAACAGGAAGTGAGTCCAGCTTTAAAAGCCTCATCTCTGTAAGTCATTGACAGACCTCTTTTCTAACTAATCCTTCGAGAGCTGAGCAAGTCACTGATTTTGACGTTTTAAAATGTTTTGTGACCGTTGAAATGCACACATCATTTTTATCTTTACAATCAGAGCATTTGTTGTTTCATTATTTAGGCTGCGGTGAGTCTAGAATTGCTTATTGAAATTGGCAAGGAAATGATTTATTAAAAGCTTTGACATTGCTTTTTCAAAGGAAGAAGAATGTTTATGTCTTTTCTCTACAGGTTTTTACTGATAGGGTGGGGACACTTTTTCCACCATTACAAACCCACTGTAAAGAGTTTTGTGTATAACGCGACAATTACCCTCCAAAAACTTAGCTCTCGTATTTGGCTTTTACATCTGAATGAAGAGTTTCCTAACTTTGTTACCTTAATCGTGTCATAAGTTGTAAATGGTATGCTATAAATCACCTAGATCTTGTAATCAGGGCATTTGGTTTACCGTCTGCATATTAAGCTTTCTGTGCAGGAAATGTGTTGAGCAGAAACACTCCTTCAGTATAATAAAGGGAAAATCAGCAGAAAGGCAGCCATGCACAGACAACACAGCTGAACACACACCTTCCCTCCTATTTTTTATTTCATATTCTTGAATATACTGCTTTATTCCCCATGTACTAAATGCTTTGTAGTTATTTTGCAATCATGGATAATTTGGTTTCCATGCTTTCCTCCCTGATTTTCAAACTAAGTATATATCCCATCAATATTTATCAAGGTATATTGTAAATATAAATGTATTAGCATCAGAACCAAGCCCCTGTTTATTTACTAAATCAAAAGTACCTGGCGTTTCAAACATATTTTATATCATCCATCAGGCCAGTCAAGCGTTGAAACAAATTGGCGACAGCATACTGTACACAATGTCTCTTTACCTAAACTTTATGCATTCACTTTTGCAATAAAGGGAAGCAAGAGTCTACGCAGCAGACACAATGAGAATCAGTGAGTTTGAAAACAGCGCTGTTGAAATAAAGAAACTGTAAACTGATAACTGATGAGCTTGAAGAATTAGAAATGACTGCATCTCTTCGTGTTGTGGCTTGTACTGTATTTATTGTTGCAGTCCAGCCCAGAGCCGGATGAGCTGCAGCAGTGAGTTACAGTGTAATCTTGGTGGATTGTCTGGGATTAACTGGTCGGAGCAAAGACAAAAGCTGCTCCCGCATCATTCGTGTTTGTGTGTGTGTCTCCACAGGGCATCAGCCAGCAGCTTAGACCCTCCAGCGTGTTGTCATTATCCCCAATGTAGACTGTGGCATGTCCCAACTGGACTACAGTGCATAGTTTATTCACAAATGTTTGCAAGTTCATCTGTGCCTATGAATCACATTTCACTTAAAAGAAATATTGTAATTATCGTATTGAAATTGATAAATTGAACAATTCTGGCATCACGATTGCCCATTGGCCCACAGATCATGAAACATCATTCAAAAATCTATTGTTTCGGGCTTGTAATGTTATGGTAAAAGAGACAAGAGTATTTTTAAGCGTAGTCGTTTATGTTCGCCGATATTGAGTTCAAAGAAAAATCAAGATGCTTATCAGGGCGGGAGGCTGGTGGTTATTGTGTTAGCATTTATCTTGGATCCTGTCGTTATCCCAGCCCATGATCATGCTGCAGATAGGGGCTGACCTGGATATGAGCTCACTGTACAATCTACACTATTCATAATTGTGTCCAGGCATGTCGTAGAAAACATTACAGTCACAGACTGAGTTGAACCAAGACACACATGTTGCTTTGTAAGAAAACTCCCATTCATTGAGTTGACAAGAATAAGTTTGAGCGAAGAGGTTAAGTTAGCAGAGTAAGTCTTACATGTGTTCATGTGTGGGTGTCATTTTCTATAGTATGGGGCCCATGTACACCCTAAGATTGTGAATGTACTCTTAGATATCATTGCAAACATCAGTGTAGCACATATTTCATTATAATAATTATTTTAGACGTTACAATATCTCATTGTGTATTATTAGACCATTGACCGACCTAATTATACACAGTTCAAACATAAAATGTATTTTTTTTTATTTGTTTCATTTTAATAGGAATGATAAATAAATTATTTATTTGGAACATAGCTTCCTGAAATGTGTTGTCGTACATTGTACAATTATCACTGTGCAGTCACCTCTGCCTACTGGTTATAGAGCCTTTACTTCCATTTTTATAATTGATTTGTTTATTTAAAGTGACTCTCATAATGCACTCAAGACAAACGACTAGTTCATTGACCCACAGAGGCTGGGTAGCTCAGGGTTTAATATTGCCATATTACTTGCCATCCTAACATCCCCATAGCATGATCAGGTTGTACAGTAACAAAGGAAGGTTTCTCACCCATCGTCTGTACTTCTTAGCAGGTTTTCCCGATGTTTTGTCCTTCATCTAAAGGACTTTTTCAAGGGAATGAAATCTCAGACCGCGCGTTGGAGATTTATAACCTATGGGTGTGGTTAGCCACACCCTAATCCTGATGCTAGCTCATTAACAAATTAAGGTCTGTTTGAAGAGGAAGGGAGCAGGTCTAACGACCCTGCTGAGGCTAACGATCCTAACACATTAGCATGTCACAGACCTATTGTCTGCTGAGATTGCTCGAGTGGAGTGGAGGTCTCCCCACTCCTAAATCATTAGCACAGTTGTACAGTAACATGATTGAGTTTGATGTCTTCTTGTTCCTGGCGTGCTGATGGACCCTATATACAATTTACAGAGCAAAAGACTCTATCTATACATTGAGTGTCCAAAAAAGTGCTGTATGACTTTGATGTATTATTATCATTACTATTTTTTTTTATCAATGGGGACTATGAACTTTAAATCCAAAAATCTCAAAAGTAGGCTGGTGGAACTGTATTATTCTAATAGGACGGCTTTGAGTGTAACTCCTCAGTGGTCATCAGTCCTTGTCAGTCACACATCATTACAGAGTGGCTCATGTGGCCCAGCTGCACCCCTCACGTTCATGCTCCTCACGCTCTGTGATTATGTGATGCACCAGAACGGAGCCTTGGCCTTTGATCACGAGACCTTCAAGTGTTTTGTCTGTCAGGCTGAACTGCTGAGGCTGGAGGCGGGAACACACACTACCAGGACACGCACACAAAATAATCATTGTAAAAAGTATAGTCTGTACCGCAGGAACTCTGAAAAGTGCCCACAGGGAGATATCGGCTCTGACTGTTGCACTTTGGGCGTCAGTTACATGGACGTAGTTTAGTAAGACATTCAACACCTCCTTCATGTCTGTCTTGGTTCACATCACAGTGAAAAGTAAGACATCTCGTGGAAATAGTTTATTTTCACAGTTGTAAAAAGTTTGAGTACTGCACCTTGAAAGTGGGTCGAGCACTTTATTGGTTATTGGTTGCTTCTCTTTTTTCACTGTATAATATTTCCCATGGGCCATAAGTTAAACTGGTTGGTCTGGTTCTTTTAACAGATCTTTTTCAAAAGAGGTAAACTTGTGTAATGGTAGACACATAGTAGTTCACTTGATTGTTGATTTTACAGCTACAAGAGTCCCAAGTGAACCAGAATTGGACCAGTTAAAGTGAATCAGACCAACAAGTGTGAATGAGTTTAGTGTGCGTTTAGGCATGCACCAACCCCGCTTTGTCTTTTCACATACTTTGATGCATCGCTTTTTGGAAACTCAAAAGACCCTTCACATGTCATTATTCATTCACTCCATACACGGAGGTGATAGACTATGAGTTTTGCCACAGCTGCCCTTGGCCACACTGACAGAAGCAAGGCAACCAGTTTGTTTGACTCATACTGGTCAAGTGTTTTGCCTAAGGTCATCAGGATGGCAATATCTACCTATGCCTAATATCATTGGCCAATTTCCCTCATATCACAGCTAACATTTCTTACCCAATGTGTCCAACGTTTTTCACTCTTATCTTTGCATGAGTAAAAGTAAAAATTCTATGTTTAATATCAGCAAAGCATAGAGAGGTCCAGCCCATGTGAATCACCTTCCTAGATTACAGACGTATAGGACTTAAAACAGAGCTGGATTAGTGATCAGCACACACCTCTCACACACTCACATACACACACATACACACACATATATATACGCTCACACACACATATATACACGCTCACACACTTGTATCGTCTTTGCAGCTCTTGTTTCAGCCTTTTTTCCTCCGCTCTCTCCTTGTCACCTTCTCTGTTTCTTCATCTTTACTGAGTGAGGTCATAGAGGCCCGGAGGGGGAAGAATCAGTCTCTGTCTTTTTGTTGCTTTATGAGTACGTCACATTTCCAGGATTTTACCCATGTGTTCGCTTTTAAGACTCAACCCTCTACAACGTTTACTTTTGCTTTCTGTTTCAAAATCCAAAATCAAATATCCTAAGTTTGTGTTTGGATGATTAGCATCGCCGGCATGTTTTTCATAATGTATTGTCTTTCTAGATGTATGAAAGTTATGGTACAATGTTGTATGCACTTGTGTGTAAAGATCAACCATTTCAGAAGCTTGTTGCATATTAACTTTGTGCTGCCCTCACTGGAATGTAAGCAATGTGTAACTAGACTGGCTTTAGGCCAAAGTGACCGACAGGTTAAGACCACTGACCGTGATCCAGGCATTCGCACAAAGGTGGAGCTGTCCCATGAGTTTTGTCCATAAAGCTGTAACTTAAGAGATTTTTTAGACAAATGGAAAAAGGCTTATGGGCAACAAAAGGCTACAATCTCTTATTATTATGTCAACTCGGGATGCCTGGCTGTTTATCAACTGTGTGCTGCAGTGTTGATGGTTTGGTTTGACTCTCTTATTAACCAGCTTTTTTATTTTTAGTTCTCTCTGTGGCCGCTCTTCAATTTGAACATCTGTTTTGAAATATCAGCTTGGGCTGTGAGTGATCTCAGTAAGATTCATATAATCGGACAGACATTTATATAAACAGACTAACTCGTAAATACAGCACAACTAAACTACCGCATTTAAAAGTACCATATAAAAGTTCAAGAAAGAGGCTTTTCAATGGCACCACACACAGAACATGTGGGGCCCAGCTTCCTCTGCCACTTTTCTGCATATTGTGGATGTGAATACTGGTTACTGGTTGAAATTAAAGCTGGGGTACCTAACTTTCAACAATGTAACTATGTAACACAAACCATGTAACTTGTTTGACACCTTTTTGGCTCTGTCACATCTTTAGATCAACTTTTTCAGGCAGAAAAGTGAAAAAGAGAGGACCTCACGACTTAAATATTTGCAAAAGATATCATGTCGAGGTCTGATTCATTCACACAAGACTCTGTTGGGAAAAAAATCCAAAATGTATTATTCATGAAACAAAAAAGGGATGTATCCCAGCTTCAATGTGAACACAATATGCATAACATTGTTGTAATATAATCTGTTGTTAATTGTTAATTGTTTAGTCTACACGTAAAGTTAAATGGATTACTTCGGACTGCCATTGCTCCACCTGTCCCTGGTCCATAGGCTGAACCTGACTCTTGACCCTTTCAAAGCAATGGGGGTAACCTGACTCTGGCTTTCATGCTTTTGTGGGCTTTGCTGTGGTTTTTAGGGTGACACTGATACTGGGTGCTATCTTAAATTACAAAAAAATAAATTATGCAAACAGACAAAGGAACAAATTAGAGGATTGTTAAAAAAGGGGTCGACATCCAGCTGAGATAATTTGTGGCAGAATTGATACGTATAGTCCAGAAAGCCCCGACATAATCCGATTGGCTATGTTCTCTGGGATCAGAGGAGTCGGTAAAAAAAAAATCTGGTCTGTGATTGGCTGTTTTGTTGCAGGGGGCGGGACCACACTGTAGGTCACTCACATATGACCACATACAGTTACGCGCTCTGGGGACGCGCACTGCACTTCGGCCGCTCTACTTCCCCTTTCGATTATCGATCGTTTGTAGCGTGAATTCGAGTGATATTTGATTGGAAAGTTTGCGTGTCTTTAGTTTGTTTAGTCTCTCTCTGAATGCCAGTTCAGAGGAGGTGGTTGGAGAGGGATTTGGGACGCAACTTTATGAGAAGGTTTGAATGAGGAAATCATCCAACGCCGCGTTCAACCTGCGGAAGGCGTGAGAAATATTCTTTTTATGTATGTTTTTCGTGTAACAACTGGCCTGGCTTGAGATTTCTGATGCTGTCGAGTTCGAGGCAACAAGTTTTCTTCGCAAATGACGTGGAATAGCACGATGAGCAGTGGCTACAGTAGCTTGGAGGATGACTCCGAAGAGTACTTTTTCACGGCCAGGACGTCGTTCTTCAGGAAACCTTCCGGAAAAGTCACGGAAAGCAAGGTACAGACATGATTATTGCCTTTTCTCGTATGTAATCTGTTTTTTTATTTTATTTTTTTAAATCGAGTTCTCAATCCAATCGCACGCTCCATGGTTGAAGAGCGTGGTCGAATGATTTTTGTCCAGTATGAAAAAAGTGTATTGTTGCACACATGCATATCACATTCTAGTCTCATGGCCTTGCTATTCACACACTCAAGACGCCACGTTTTTTTTATTGTGCCCTGTCATATTGGTTGTGTATTTATAAATCATACATCTTATCTAGTCAAGAATCAAGATTGTGTACATGATTGCCCTGCCTGGTTTTATTGCCGGTTTGTTTACCACCCCATATCCATTAATTTTACACAACAGTGTTCAGGTTACTTTTGAGAATTCTCTGGAAGTAGCTTGACAAACTGCAAATTGCTTAACCTAATTACTTTTGCACATACCAGCCTGATTTAAGGTTTTTTTTTTCTCCTATAAGCTGGCTGCCAAAAATAGTTTTCATTTCATTTCAGTTACTAATTCAGAAAATTGGGTCACTGTTCACTGTCCAAAACCTCTGTACTGTAATTCATTCTTTTCACATCAACATTTGAAGCTCGACATATTGCTACAGATATATGTTGTGATAAACTATTAAAACTGTTTGATTTCACTGACAGAATAACAATCTTGCTGGTCCGCTGGACTGCTCAGTTTATTATTGTTATAAATACATTCAATTTTACAAATGCAAAGCTACAAATGTAATTGAAAGGACCTATTTACATTTTCTAACTGACAAATGACAAAATTGCACCTGAAAATATATTTAGGCTCATTGAACGTGAGACTTTGTGCTCTGTTGTTGCGACTTGGCTTGGTTGCACATTCTACACTGTTGCATGACACTTAACACGTCCACCCGAGTCCCTCTTGTTGTGTTGGAGGAGTGGGTGCACAATAGTGGCCATACAGCGCTGCAGGGAGGTTGTGACCGGTCCGGATCCTGCTGACCCTGGGAGCCTGGGCTGTAGTTTGGTGGTTTCCCGCATGCCAGCAGTAATTACAACTACTGAGAGACGACTTGACTTTTTGGAGAGCTGTGAAGGCAGAGAGAATGAAATTACTGGTTTGGTGACAAGGCAAAGGTCGAAGGGACAATGTATTTTTGTTAGACAGAAATTGGGGCAATTTAAAATGTTCTGTTTGAAGTAATGACTAGAATCCCACGCTATAACCATCTTTTTGAACATAGAGCATCTTTGAGTATGACATTCCACTGAATATGTTTCTATCTAGTCCATCGAAGCTGTGTTTCTTCATTGACTTAGTTTAAACCATGAAACGTCTATAGTCTTACTTTGAGATAAAAAACTTCACTATAGTCTTTGCCATTTGAATGCCTGAATGTTTACATGTTTACTGAGAGTTTTCATTAAGGCATTCAGCTAGAAGTAGAGTTTTAATAAGGCTGAACACATACACAAGAATGAAAATGAAGCTGAGATTCACTGGGAGTCAATAAAAAGCACACATACTGTAGGCTGTACTGTCGACCAGTGTGGGTTGAATGGGGTTTCTGTCGGCAAATGTCACACTGTAATGTCTGGAGGTTTAACCCACTCAGCAGAACGAACACACAAGACACTCACAGGACAGCTGGTCAGCAACGCAAAGGCTCTTCCTCACATGCTTTACAGTCCTAAAGTCCCTCTTAGCTTTTCAGTAAGTTATTGACCGGCTTGTTTTAATGGTTTGCGGATAGTTCAAAAATACCAACTTCAGGCCTCTTTAAGGTGCGTTCACACTCTTATGTGTCTGGTTCACTTTAACTGGACCAATTCTGGTTCACTTGGTGCTAAAAAATCTTTTATTTGTGGATGTAAAAACCACCATGTCTCTTCTAGTCACTGAATTAAGTTTAAGTTTATTTGTTTCCCCAAGTAACCCAGATGAAGCGACCATACCACTCGGTCAACTTCAAGTACAGCTGTCATGATGTCATTGGTTGAACATTTGAATCAATTTTCTTTTTGATGGACTTTGCTTTGGTTGGATCTGTTGATTTGTTAAAAAAAAATTCCCTGCCACATTATGTTCTTGAATCCATGAGTAACGAGTACTATACTACTATACAACTAATGTTATGTTATTGGAACATAAACCAGTAGTGGTTGTGTGTGATATTTTCCCCCTCGTTTCAACACACAATAAGAGGTGAAGTCTTTACTGAGAGAATGCCACACTGCTGTCTGTGGGGTGAGGTCATTGTTGACTTAACTTTCTAAAAAGATAGATAAGATTTTTTTTTTCCCGCTGAAGGGCAACAGATAGATATGGTGACTGGCAGAGCGTTGATCCACATCTTGTTCTTTCTTTTTTCATCTCCCTGTAAACTGTTGCTTTGCTGTTAGCAACCAACCTCTGGGCACTTGCTGCAAGTGAGTTTCTAATAAATTATCACAACACTGTAAAAGCCCTTGTGAAACGTATACCTTTTAAAACCTTGTTCTGACTTGTGAGCACTGACTGTACTGTACTCTCTGTCTTTAAAGCTACTAGCTTCTTCCTTACAGTTGTTGACGTGAAGCGTGGATTGGTTTAAACATTCTGAGCTTGTGTTTTTCCTTATCTTGAATTTCCTGTTCCACACATGAGCCTACCCTCGACACATTTCATCACATTGTCTTTCCCTTTTCATCCTGGATGTCACATCCTGTCTTTTTCCACACCTCCATCCTGTTCTGGACAACTTAGCTGGTGCTGTCTTCAATATAGAAATCCTAAACCATATTAGGGATGCTTTGTAGTTATTTTACTGCAAAGTTGCTTCACTTGGATTAATCCTCACACTTGAGGTTTTGTTTAATGAGTTCAGAGTCTAATGTAGCCCACCAGCTACTCTGACATCTGGAGAGGTTTAAACCACTTCACAGACTGTCTGATTCTGCAGAGTGGAGAGCTAGCCAAAGATTGGCCACATGTCCAGATAAAGATTAAACAGAAGAGGCTTGTTTAGTCGACTTAATTTAAATGTACTACAGTATAAGCCCCTACAAGGTTATTTAGCACCTTCTCGTTTTTGGTTGAGTTTCGGTCTGCTGTTTGTCTTAAAACAGTAAATATTTTCTAGCCGATATCACAGCTCAATCGTTTACAGCCTGTGTGTTTCATCGTGACGCGTTTAAATGGAGCCCTGCTGACCATCTTCAGTTCACTTTACAGCTTTAATGAGATGTTGAACTATATTGTCAGTTGAAAGACGCACAGGAAGACTTGTGCTTTTTGTCTGCAGCCTGTCTCTTCAAACATCAACAGAGCGTTCAGCCCATAGCTGTGGGCTGTGTTGTATAATGAGATAATGTGTCTTTTGAACAGCAGCTCTACCTGCGTCATGGAGGGTGTGATGTGGTGCAGTGAAGACGGATAACCAATTTAACTTTCCATAATATTCATATTGTCCCCATTTGATCAAAACAAGTGAGGGAACTATTATGTTTTTTGCATCAAACTAAAGGATTGATTGATTTGCATGAAGATTGAACATGGGGTGGTTTATTACCGAAGTGTTGACAGAGACAGTTGCAATATCTCATACAGTATCTGTCTGAACAGGTGGTCATCCATCTCCTTCTCTGTTGCAGAGGTCAGACGTGCACCTGCATGTAGCTGCATGAGTGTGCGACCAATGATGTGTCTGTCAAGTGAAACTAAATAATATTGGTGTAAAATCACAAAAGTCAACTTGTAATGGAAAGACATTGATATTTGTTGTTTGTCAATATTTCTAAAAGCAGGTGTTATTATAAATTTGAACCTGAAATAACATATTTGTGGTCCTTTCCAAATCACCTCCTGCAAATGTATCTTTTGCTTTTATCAAGACTGATAAATTGGACACCGGCTATTCCCTAACATTACATTTAATTCACGCAAAGAAAAGAATCCTCTACATCGCCACGGTTTCACACCGGCTCATTTGCACTCAGGTTGTAATTTTCCTTTCACAATGTGTTTAGTTTAATATGCTTTTCTCAGCAGGAAATTGCTCTGTCCTTGTTGCAGTAGAAAAGTGAGTACAGGCCTTATATTGTGGGCTGTTTGTAGCAGTAGTAATGAAGCATGTGTCTGTGGGCTCTGCCTAAAAACCTCCTGACTCTGGTGCCTCCGCTGCATCATCTGGGACCAGTTATGGTTGTGTGATCTTCGGAGGCCATTATCAGTGACCACAGCGGTGCACTTTGAGGTGGTTTTCTGCTTGTTTCACTCAATGTTCCTGAGAGAAAGTGAGAGGAAAGTGATGATAAATGACAGGACTGATCCCACACGTGTAGTAGGAGGACCAGCTGTTCACTTGAAACTCATTTTTGGGCCATGGAGTTTTTTGAAAAGGCCACCACCAATCACACCCCTAAGACTTAAAGGTGGTCAGTGCTTCTCAACTGGTGGGTCATGGGATTTAATGCCGCTTTTCCACAGTAACGATACGCTTCGTGCCAACTCTACACGGCGCGGCACGGCCTAGTTTGCGTGCTTTTCCATCTAAAATAGTACCCGCTAGTATGTCCTCAGCGTTGTCAGACCATGTCATTTACACGTGACGCGTAACTAGTATTGGTGCAGTGCATGGATTTATTATAATATCAGACTAACAGAAGTGTTTAATAGAAAATTCAGCACAGCATGAGTGGTTGTTGAAAATGCGTATGTCTTAAAAGAATGACTCGGACACTGTGAAGTCAATGGTGCTGACTGTGCTCTGTACAATCTGAATGAGACCTGTAGCAACAGCAGCCTGTGCTTGTCCGAGGATACGGCCTGGCTATAGGTAATGCTAGCGCTAGCTCGAGACTCCGCTCACTCACTAACCCTGGATTCCAAAGCTACAACAGTACTACACTTAACACATCTATCACTACCCTCAGAGGAGGATCCAGGGTTTAAACTTATCATATGGCAACTCGAGCAGTAAAGGACCAAGGAATAGACAGAAGCAACCATAGGGGTAGCGAGTTAGCGGCTAGGCT